AGGGCAAGTGGAGGCGATGCTCATGGTCATGTACGACGGGGATGGCGTTCTCCTCAAGGAGAGCACCAGGTTGGTTGCCGTTAGGCACACGCGGATCGGACGCGACTTGAGTTACAGTGCCGTTAGGCACAGGTATACTCAGGAAGATGCACCTGGCGGATCTCTGATGTATGAGATGCATTGGAATGAACTCCCCATGGTGGGATACGTCATCATGAAGTTCTCGGACTTTCGGAAGGCGGTTCAGCTCCAAAGGGTGAGGCGAAATGGAAAGGCCATGATCGAGATATTGATCACGAGGCCCGATGTGTACGAGACCATTGGGGATGGTAGGCAGGATGAGGGCCTGATCCCACTTGTGGGAGCCATGGCGCCGGATGCTGAGGTATCGCCTTCGTGGTATGTCAGGGACAGGCTGCGGAACTACTCCGGTAGGTACGTGGTGGTAATGGTGGATCTTCGGGTGCACTGGTCCTTGGTTGGACCCGTGTTTTTGACGAGAAGGAAGACTCTTGCCGTTAGGAACGAGATCCACATGGGGGCTTGGAAGGCGGCGTATATGTACGATGATTACACGATAGTGTACCATCGGGCATGGGACTACGGTGACTTCACCCCCGTTAGGGGAGAGCACAAGCGATCACGGGAAGAGATCAGGCTGAATGTGACTGCCACGTTCTGCTTGAGGTGCGCGGAATTGATGCCGAATGGGATGCACTTGTGTCCCGGGTGCGCGCTCCCGGTCTTTTACCCGAACTTTATCCCCAACGCGGAGGAAAAGGACTTCGAAACGTGCCACATCGTGCCGGAGTGGGTGAGGACCATGGGGCAGTTCAAGCCCAGGAGGATTCCCTCCGAAGTGGTCGGAGTCATCAAAAGGAATTTGATTTCCTATTCAATGGCATCCGATCTAAGGATGACGGTGCAGAGCGGCATCAGACTTCCCCCTTATCTTGGTGAAGACAAGGGAGGTGTCGATGCGGCGTGGGATGAGCTGGCGAAGGTGCTCTTCCAATTCTCCTATGTGTCCGGGATTTCGGCCTCGGATGCGTTTGTGGAGAAGTGGGTGGCGAAGCACCTGATCAAGACCAACCAAGTCGATAGATTTGAGTCGGTCACGGAGTACTTCCGGGCCAACCCAAGACACGCTGCTCAGTGGGGTAGGCGTATGACGACTTCCGTTAGGAAGTTCGCTCGTCATGACACGTACTTGTCATTCTATATTCCGATGGCATACGTGATTGGTTCTGCGGCTGGTCATCTGACCCCATTGTACCCGACCCATCGAAAGGACGTGGACATCCTGGAGAGTCATGCGTTGATGTCGCAGCTCAGGGAGTACATGGTATCGGAGACAGGGTATGATGAGAAGAAGAGGTTGAAGGAGGCGATAGCCAAGGTGCAGAAGGCGATCAGCGCCGGACAGTCGGAGCCTCCCGCACCCTTCCGTGACCCGTTCGTCTACGTTAGTGACGAAAGGGTGAGGACGGTTCTTGACGGTCGTCAACCCGAACCTTTGAACGTGGACATCGAGGGACTCCAATCGGTGCATCATGCTGCGCCGGGTCCTGGTCCCAAGCAGGAGCCGGTCCCCAAGGGCGGAAAAGGAAAAGGGAAAAAGGGGGAAAAGGGCGGTAAGGGCGGTAGTCCTTCCGGCCCGCCACAAAAATCAGGTGAAGTGCCGGGTAAAGGATCCGGTAAGGGCGGTAGCCCATCCGTCCCAAAGGCGAAGGATGACGCTGGACCTGCTCCGATGGAGGTTGATGCAGCAGCAGCTCAGCCGAAGAAGTCTTGGGCCGAGATGGTGGTTGAAGGGGCCAGGCCGAGTGCCAAGGCTAAAGTGACCCCGGTTCCTAAGGCAGAGCCGAAAGGGAAGGCTGCTTCGGCATCTGAGGCGAGGAGTGCTCCGGCTCCAAAAGCTGTGGCTAAGGAGACGAAGCAGGCCGAACCGAAGGTTGAGGTCAAGAAGGAGAAGACAGGCGGAGGTGACGCTCCCGGCGGTAGCCGCGGGTCGGCCGAAGGGCAGAAGAGAGAAAGGAAGTCCCGTTGGGATCCCGACGAGGCTGCGAAGGAGTCGACAAAGCGGGAGGCATCCACGAGGCCTGGCGACGTCGACAGCAGACCAGGTGCGGCAGCGAGAGAAGCTAGCGGGGATGATCTTCACTCCGCGCTTGGCAGATCTTCGGCAAAGGATGCGGTAGCGCCTTTGACTGCCTCCAAGGCGATGGCAAAGAAGCCTGAAGGCGGGGAGATCCGGCTGCAGTCTGCTGAGCGGGCTGCGGCGAGCCCGGTGGAGGGTCACTTCCTGGTGCTGCCTGAGAGTTCGGTGGTGGACGCTTTCTTGACGATCTCCACCAACAGAGTGCTGAACAGGCAGGTTAGGGATTTCATCAGAAATGGTGAGGACGCGTCGGCACTGGAAGCTCTCAACCAGATCGTGACGAACTCTCAATCTGGGAGGAGGCGTAGGGAATCGGATATTTCCCGTACTCCTTCTCGGAGGTCCGTTAGGACCGTGGACACCAGGGATTCCAGAGAGTCGAGGAGGCGCAGATATCGTCCGCGGCGCGAGGATGATCGCGACAGGAGGAGGGACGATGCTCGTGATCGTCGTGATGATGATTCACTCGATCGGGAGCGGGATCGAAGGCGAGATGATCGCAGGAGATCCGAAAGGGATCGTGATAGGGACCGTGCGCGGGGCGGACGTGACCGGAGGAGACGTGACGATAGCCGGTAGGCTGAGTCACGAGGATTGCGGCCGATAGGCTTGCGTCCGTTCTCCAATGGTCGGCGCGGTGTGGAGGTGGTGATGTTCCTCCCGGACCGCTGAGGCGCGGAGGTCATGTCTCTCCCGTACCGCTGCTGAGCTGCTGGACGTGCTCATCCGGAAGCAGTATGAGTGAGAGGGAAAGCAAACTGATGGGGGGTTACTCCCGGGTTTGCGGAATTCAAGCATTTTTCAGGTACGCATGGTCAGGGGTACCTCTTGCCGTTAGGCGAGGGTACTAATGGACATACGTTATCTTTTATTTCATGGCTTCTGATAAGAATTAAACTTCTTGCATTGTTGATGCAAACAGTTGTGACCTAGTGTCGTCATGTGGACTTTTCCACAAGGTTGTTGGACAGCGTTACCCCGATTAATTCGGGGTGGTGGCGGGAATTTAATGCCCGGGATGTCGCGCAACTGCCTTTGTGGGTTTGCTCCACCGCTGACGGCGGTAGTGTCCAGCTGTTTGCGGACGCATGCGAGCAGTTAAATCCTATCAGTAAATGGCACGCTCCACCCGTCATATGACGGGCTCCTCGTGAGGGGGGTGTGATTAGCCATGGTTCATATCATCATCAGGGACGTCGCGTTAGTGACCGACCTGTGGTGTTTTGGCTCAAGTTTTGGGTTCCGTCGCGCCTCGAATGGGCGTCGCCGAACCCCTGCGTCGACCGACGGCATCTCGGGGGAGAAAGAGACCTCGGGCCGCCGCCAGGTTGGTAGGGACCAGTCGTGCGGCCTGTTGTCGACCAAGGTTGCGGGTTAACCCTTTTCTTGTTTGGTTTGTTTCCTTTTGGTTGTTGTTCTCTGGTGTGTGGGAAACCCTGATCTTTGGGACCGGGGATTGGTTTGCTTTTGGGGAACCTTTCTTTTGTGGCTTGTTTACCCCAACTTACCCATTGCCTGGGCACAGGCTCGTGCCCGAATCACACGTGGTTTTGGCATGCATGAAGCAGAGACAGAAAGCTTGAGCCTTCGCGCAAGAAATGATGTAGTCAGTGGCCCGTTTGGCAGAGACTCGCCAAATTTCGACCATGAAAACCAGAGGCTTGCCATTTTGTCCAGGTCCAGCGAAGGGTGTGTGCGCCAATTAGGAACCTCCGTTTTGGTGAAGGGGATACTGAAGGAAACTCAGCATGTTTGGGGTCCCTGTGTTGGAGACACCAGCATTGGGACCGCCAAAGGATACTGGTGTGAAATAACCCATAACTGGTAGTTTCCCCGAAAGGAAGATCCAGTGAATAGATTATGATTTTCCCAGAGCATCTCTTTAACACCTAGAGAAGTTGCCTCAGAACACGCTTGTCTAGCTTTGTCAAAATGGCAAGCTGAGCGCTAATTACCACGGATTTGCCCACGCGACAGGCAGCTGGTCAAGTTTGCAGCTGGCGCGCTGTGGGACAAGGACGGGGTGCAAGTCCCACACCAAGTCGCGGAGGTGCAGTTTCGCTTTGGAGCATTGATGGGAACCGAGGATCAACACCCCCCTGGTTGATTCATAGACAGTTGTCCCGTTTCGCAGAAACAACTGGTGCACTTTCAGGGGACACCCCCCCCACTGGATGATGAATCCAGGGTCGACATTAGACTCACACCGACAGGTTCCAGCACATGCCTGGCTATATGTACCAGTTTGATTTCGTAATTCGCTTCTCTCCGTTCGATTTTAAATACATGGATGCCGAATTTCTATTTGATAATTCGGATGCATGGGTGTTGCCGAGTGCTGAAACCAAATTACCATTCACACCTTTCCTGGTGTCCTGGTATGTATATATATATATATATATAGACATGCCAGAAAGGCCGTTCAGCGTCACATGGCTTACGCATCCGATTTGTATCCAGTCGAACCGACGCCGCGCATCCAAGATTCGGAACTCCCCCGAGGCCTTGGAGTTTCTCCGAACCCTTCCCCAGAGCAATGCTGTGCACTACAACACCGCCAGAGTCTCAGCCTATGTGGCGTATGGGCCACGGGAATTCGTGGGAACTGCTGGGTCTGCTGCGTCACTTGGCAAGCTTGTTTTTGGTTGATAAGTAAATCCCGACAAGTCCTCAAGCTTTTTCTGGCCAGTCAACTGAGTCATTGTGCAGATTGAAATGTTGAGCCGGTAAGCTTCTTTGTACCAGGTTGGATGCGTTTCAGACCCAGACGGTAACACGGCCTTGTCCAGCACGAAAAGCTGGCGTGTCAGGCAATCTCCGCTTGCAGCAAAGCGAGCCAATGGCAAGTGGTGCGGAGCTCAGTTTGTGCTCGTGCCTCTGTGGGCGGGTTGTTTTTCAGGGAAATCATGGGAACCCCGGAAACCAAAAGAAAAAACACAACTTTCGGGGGGTTCCCTAATTTGTAAGGAAAGAACAGAGTGTGGTCAAAGTGCCAAATGCTGCGTGGTTGTGTGTGTGTGCGGTGCCTTGGTCCAAGTACTTGGGTCAGTTTCACAAAGGGCGAGGGGCAACCCTTGGGACGAAGTGAAGGCAATCCCAGGCACTTGGAGATACGATGGCAGAATCAACCCGTCTTTAAACACTCCTCGTGGCTTCTCTTTCGGCAGGAATTTATTGACTGGGTTCCCCTTGGTTTATCACGTTAATCTAAAACAAGGACTGAGACAATCCCCATGGCTTCTCATTTCCAACAAGGTACACTTTGGTTCTCATTCACACCTATGGCTTCTCATTTATACACTTTGGTTCTCATTCACACTCCTGTTCTCATTTCACACATGGGAGGTAATCCAGGCAGGGCTTCCTCTGTAACACTCCCTTTCCGGGGCAGCGATCGCGATCGCCAGGCGCTGGCGCTGTTGCTGGCGAGTCCGGCGCCTGAGCCTCGGCAAGCCCTGGCCCGGGAGAGGGGCATGGGAGAGGGTGACGTGGTTCTGTTCAATGCGCAGTTCAGTGGCACACTTCTTGACTGCTGGGTTGGATCTTTAGACTTTAACTTTTTGGTTGAAATCAAGGGGTTTTCCGCTAAACCCCCCAAAAGCTAAACTTTTTGCAGGGGGGTCAACAGCAACCAAGACTTGTCCATTCAACCTCCTGTTTGAACTGTTTGAAACGCCGTCCCTGAGTCCCTTGATTCAAACATTCGTGACCTATGAGAAAGGGGCCAAGCAACTCGAGTCCAATGCTTGTTCTCCATTTCAAGTCACTTATGATCCCATCCAAAGAGGTTCCCTAGTGGACAAAGCAATCGTCAGCTTTGCGTATGAATCCGGAGGCTAAGATGCACACCTAGAACCTTTAGAGGCAGCTCCATGTCTACTAGGCTTATGGTGAAATTTATCCCTTGGAGATGAGATATCGTTCTATTATGTATCTTGTTTGAAGAGGCAGCTGGGGGTTCATCAACAGCCCTGCGTTTGTGTTTGTTGGATTTAATGTCATCTTTTTGGTCATTCGGAAGGCTGGCTTTTAGTTTGTATGCCTCTGTGAGGAGAGGCGCTTACCTGGCACTGTTAACCAACGTGAAAGGTTTTTTCCTTCCCCAACGCGTGGGTGTCTTCTTGGAGGGTATGTGTATCTAGTTAGCCTGGTTGAAAAGGAAGCCAAAAGGAAGCGCACAATTTGTTCGGGTTCTCAATTTGGGATATACTAGACGATTGATCCCGCAAAAGGAAGCCACAAAGAAGAGCATGCTTTTTGGGATATGGGGTTGTGCTTTGCAAGGCTATACCCCTTTTTTGGGGTTGAATTGAAGGGACATCGAAAGGACAACCGAAGCCACTGTGGTGGTTCCACTAGTTGACCCATACCGATCTGGGTGTGCCTTTTTTTGGGGACCCCGCCCCCCAAATATATATATATATATATGTACATATATGCTGTTTTCGTTTGTTTCTTTTGGTTTCCCTTGAAAGCCACAACCCAGCAAAAGTACCCTCGAAAGAAGACACGCCCGTTTGAAAGGTTTTATCTTGAGCAAAAAGCATTTGGGAGGGACATGGAGGAACGAGCCCAGATTCCCACAAGAATCCGGGGACTCGCAAGAAAACACAGAGACCTTGGTGGTTCCCAGTCTTCCCCTTGGCTGTTTTAGTTGTTTGAGTTTTTTGTGGGGATTTCCATTTAACCCGCTAACAATTTGTACTTTTCGCGTATCTGAGGATAGCCCCGGCAAGTTTGTTGGTTTCGAGAGAACCGGGTGTGTCCTTTGGTTGGCTTCCAGGGGGGCCGTACGCCGTAACATGGGACCCCCATCCACCCAAAGCGCCGATGGAAATTTTGTTTTTTCCGCGAGGACGCGGTGTCCTTCGCCTGCGCCTTGGGCGCGTTTTCGCTGCCCTGGCGCGAGGCGCTGCGACTGCTGCGCCTGCTCCAAGTCTTCCGGGTGGAGCCGGACGCGCCTTGGAGCGAGACACTTCGGAGCTCTGGGCCCCAAAAAGAAGCTCGGTTGTTCAAAGCGAGCCGACCGGAACTCACCGGAAATGACCAATTTGGGTCTTCTTATTCCCCCCTAAAGGTGATCGCCTTTGATTTCTGTGGCCAGTCCACGCCATGGAACCTGGCTGAGGGTGAGGGGTCCTGCTTTGGCTCTTTTGTTAATTGAAACGGGACCTTCTGGGCTGCATGTTTGCGGACCGGAGGGTATCTGTTTGAATTTGGCGGTTCGAAGTGCTCAAAGTTACTTTTCGGGAATGGGTTCCCTTTCAGCCAACATGTAGAGAGTGTGTTTGGCACTCGGGGTTCTCAAATTGGTCCCATAGGAATGTTCAACGAACACCCTCAAAGTGGTTCTCAGAACCTAGAGAAGGAACCTTGTTTTCCTACCACGTGGGGTCACTTGGAGGGGTGCCTTTAGTGAAATCATGGTTCGAGTTCGAATCTAATTTGACTTGTGATGCCATCTTGACTTGTGATGGCAGGCGCCCTGTTCGCCGCCGCGAGACCGTTTTTGAACGATTCGGAGCATGGTGCTGGTGCGGTGTCTTGGGGGGAGTTGGGGGGGGCGTGTGCCACACGGTCCGTATGTCGCGTAGCTCATGCTACCAGCACGCAGACACACAAAAACACAAAAGCGCACGCGCATCCGCGCATCGGCTCTCAGACGGAGACGTGCGCGGACAACATTGCAGAAGCGCAGAGCCGCTCGTGATGTGCGCTGCTCTTGTGCATATCAGTATGGAACCCAGACTAGACAACCATCGTTTGCAGAGGTATCTTTTTGGGGGGCATAGGTGTCCTTTTTGGTTGTTTTGGTAGAAAAGTAGATGGCCCTGGTTTACCTGGTGGTTTAATCATCTACCAGGGAAATCCATCTATTTCCCCTAAAAGGACACCTGTGTGTGGGGGAAGTTTTGAGTTCCGCGTGTGCGGTGGTTTGCGCGAGCTGGTCATTTGCCTCGATGGCAGCTTCCAAGGCCTTCGTGGCCGCTGGTGCCATAAATGTGTGCAGCCGCGCAGCGCAGTGGCAGGCGATCGATCGATCGATCCATTTGGCCCGAGAACGTGTCCAGCTTTTGGTTGGCCCGGAGTATTTGTTTGCAGCTTGGGTCTCATTTTAGTCGAGGCCCAAAGAGAGAAAGCAAGCCGAACTAAAGGGATCCCGGCTTTTGTCGGTGGTATTTGTTTGATATCTAGATGTCGTTGTTTAAAAACAAGCCTTGCAAAGTCTGTGTCACGCACCGGGTCCTTAGCTTGGGGCAGTTCTGCTAAGTGGATCTTAGCCAGAGACCACGTTTTGATTCTGAGCCTTCCCTTGACTGCTATTGGGTTGGATCTTTAGACTTGAACTTTTTGGCAAATCAAAGGGTTGTCCACTAAACCCACAAAAAGTTAAACTTTTTGCAGAGGGATCAGCAGCAACCAAGTTCCGCTACCCCCCCCCCCACTAGGGCTGTTGATGGCGGGAGCCGCTGGGCTGGCCCGCACTCAACTGCGCATGTCCAGGGCGTGATTTTCTTCGTGGGACTGTTTCGATCCACGAAAAGCGTGAAAACCTTCTGCCCGGCATGCAGGAATCCACCCAAAAACAGGAAGCACCATGAAACGGTCAGGGTGATCCCAAAGGCCGCGATCTTGGATTCGACATGTTCTGGGTTGTTTCTCATGTTTTCGGTGTTCCTTCTTTTTGTTTGTTGTTGTGTCTCTACATTCTTTCATCGGTCCGGGGACATGCGTTTCCTTCTTTTTCGGAGCCCTGAAGGTGTGCCTGGACCTTTTGCGCAGCTTCCCAGCAGCCCAAACCGACCACAACTCCGTGGCAGTGGGAGCCGCCATCGCAGGAAAGGGCACAGCCACCTTGTGCCATGTTGACAGCACAATGGGGTCTCCTTGTCGGTCAGTGTTAACACGGAAAACGAAAGGGCACCACCTGGTTTTGGGGATTTTGGGGTCCTTGTTTCGGAACTCACACTTGGTTGATGGAGGTTGACAGGAATGGGTCGGACACATCTCACTGCTCAGTTGACGGTGGTCGCATCAATCCTCCAAATCGGCTATTCTAGATCATCGGTTCAAGGAGTCCGCAATGGCACGCATAGGAGCTTGGCGCCAAGTCTTTTTTGTTGAGGATCCGTTCGGTCGAATGGAGGTCCGCAATGGAAGCCACCCAATGAGCAATCCTTTGAGATGCAGCGCCCTAAGACCCTAAACTGGAAAAAGGGCCTTTCTTAAGCGAATCTCTCAAGGCACAAAAAACTGTCAGAATCAGACATCATCAAAGCAAGTTGAGCAGCGGATTTCCCGGGATGAGTTGTTGCAATGACTATATTTTAGCAAGGAGTTCATGGGTGAGCCTTTTGGAAGACCGGGCAGCACTTTGAGACTTGGTTTGCCTATGCTGGTTTCCGCTCCTTTGATATGTACTGGGCTAGGGATAGGACACTCTTTACATTTGTTGGCCGACTCCAACGGAAAAACCAACAACAGAACGCATATTTTACAGCAGGCCCAACTCCACTCATATCGTGCCCGTCGGCTTTCTATGGCAAATGTCTCAGGAGCCGACCGCGCCTCCAAGTGGGAAGCTGCATTGGCGCTGTTCAACCTGCACCGGCTTAAGGCGGCCTGGGGAGCATCGTGCAATCTTGAAACTGGGCACGTGTCGAGGTCTTAAAATGAGGGGGCCCCTAAAAATGAACGGATCGCCCTTTGGTGTTCCGAACTCCAAAAAAGGCGACTTTTCTTTAAGAAACACACGCCGATTGGAAGTGATTCAGTGTGCCAGCCTCGTATTTCCCCTTTTGCCGAAACATCACCCTGTCGGCCAACCAGAGTGCTTTGCCCGTTTAAAGGGGACATATCGCCGCGAGAACTCCCGCCTGTTGTGAGAGAACGTCAGGTCTGAAGTCCGCTCGGAAGAAGCCCGGGATTCGGAAGGCAAAAGCTGAGGTTTCCTGGGGACCAAAAGGTGTTGACAGCCTCCCAATTTGTTCCCTGCTTCACACAAATACCCCACCCACTTGCATGGAACCAGTGGAAAACTCGAACGACACTTTTGCTCATACAGGACCTTTGTCTCAGGTTTCGTGCTGATGGGAGTTTATATGACAAGGAAAAAGGTGTCCAAGGCACAAATGACACTCGGTCTCCTGTTGCTGGCAACTCAACCTCCGATGGATGCACCGTCTTTGTTATTTTCCTGTGTGTGGGTGTGCGTTGCATCCCCATGCAAAGGTTCAAAAAGAAGTGCGAGTTTGTCTTTTTCGGGTCGATCCCCTTCGTGACCTTTTAAAGGACTTGGGACAAACCCCTTTGGTGACAAGTTTAAACCACTGCCTTTGGTTTAGCTCAGTCAAAGGGTTGGGTTACAGGAAATTCTAGTGCAAAACAGTTGAATTAGAGACTTTTGGCGCCATTTCCTGTGAAGTTGTCCAAGTCAAGCCTTTGAAGTAGGCGAAAAAAGGCAGTCCACGAACTTGAAGGTGCGACCCAGCTTCATCGCCTTCTCCACCACGGTGCTGGCAACAAGTCGGGCCAGCCAGTGGCAGGAGGGGGGGGGAATTTTTCGGTTGGCCGTCCGATTCCTTAGGTTTTTCGCTTTTTGGTTCAGTGCTTGGGTGTCCGTATTTCCCCCACTAAAGGGTTTTCACTAGCAGGGGATCAGTTCGGACGGCCCACTGATGTTTACAAGTGGCCTCGCCTTTTTATCCCCAAGCGATTTGGGGTCAGGTAGGCTCCAAGGGAAGCCCGAAACTTCAAAGTGAAGTCATGGGAATGACCGAGGAGAGGGTGGTTTTCGCTCATACGAGAGCAAGCCCGGGATCAAATTCGTCAAACCCATGGTTAGGAGTGATCCTCTTGGTTCACTTGGCAATTTTGGGATCTCTTTCAGAATGAGTTTTACACGAGGCTCACGTTGTTGGACCAGAATCAAGCACCCGCCGCAGATAGGCCATCTGCCACCGCCCATCGGGACCGGGGGGTGATTGAAGCTGGGAAAAGGAGAAGCAGCCAAGGGAACTTTGAACCCGGAACTCGTCATTTGGAGTTCGGCAGGCTCGGTACCCTTGAGATTGCTCGCGCTGCATTTGCTTGAAGCAGAACAAGGTGAAAGGATTCGAAACCCTAGAGCAATAGAAGCTCTCACCAGCAAATGCAGAAGTGCTCTGACCCCTTTGGAAGGCTACTTTCCTTGCACTGCCATGTTTAGCGGTGGGAGAATTCAAACCAAGCAAAGTCTGATTTCACCAGTTCTTCAAATTATAGTATGAATATCATGCAGGGTTGGATCTACGAAAGCTACATCAAAATCGTTTCCTAGGAGGGCAATGTCGACCCGACATGAACCAATCTGGTACTGTAGATTTGTAGGGGTCGGTTAGTCCCTCCAAAAATGGAGGAAGCCCTCTTAAAGCAACATCGAGCATGATCCACTCCCTTTGGGGCTCTTTTTTCCGGGATATGACTATTGATCCTGCGCTCCCAGTGTCTCAACAGCCTACATTTTTCCGAATGTTGCTCTGAGAGGCCTACTTTTGAACGTTAGTGAATATGACCAACATGGCGTGTGTGTGTGGTCAGTCCTGTTTCGCAGGTCGTGCTGGAGCTCCTGCAGCGGCGGCGGCTGGATGCGGTGACTTGCACTGCCGCCATCACCGTCGCCCGGTGGCAACCAGTGGGGTGAGGGGGCGGCGGGGTGCCGGCTGGGCGGGGTGGAGTGGTTGGGTGAGGTGTGGGGCAGCGTGTCATGAGAACAGGTTGGTGTGTTTTGCGTGGTGGCACATTTGGGTGTGTCTTGGTTTAGGGGGACCCCAAAGAATTGTAGGTGTTCCTTTTGGTTCCCTTTAACGCCACAAAGAAAGGGTATCCTCAAAAAATAAGCACCCATTTACTTCTCACAAGAGCTCCAGATCTGCAATGTCTGCGCAAGGCTTGCCGGGAGGGAAGAAGTTGGCAGCATGCCACAGGACTGCCTTTCCCGCCATGAGACTCTTTCAATTCCCGGGGATCGTGCTCTGAGACCCAAACAAGGAGTCCCACGAAAGCATTTCCCCCACAAGAGGCCTGTGATTTGAGGGGTGACCATACTCCCGGGAAGCTTCTGTTCTTGAATATTTCCAGTTTCTCATTTCAGCCCGAATGAGAATTCATCCAGGTCATCTGGTGATTTCACGTTGAAAGGGATCTGGGCCCCATGCAGGACTACTCTTTGACGCTTGGGCGAAGCAACCACGAGGAGGCGGCGAAAATCGCCTTGCGCAGTCGTGTATTGAGTTTTGTTGATTACATTGTAAGAAGGTGAAGTAAATGAAGCTTCCAAAAAACATATTTGTGGTTGGTGGAAGGGTTTAACATACAAATCGCTCATTTGTAGATCTTCCGTTTGAGGTTTTTCGCGGGAGGGGTCGAGGGAGAATCGACGTCTGGCCATTGCCCCTAAGAAGCGCAAAAGTGTTCATCTCCCTTTTTAAGTCCAGGGACCTCTCAGAGCTGAGAGCTAGCACCATTCTCCTGTAATGTCTTGTTTGGGGAAGCCGAGTCAGGGGAACGAGTGTTTCTCATAGACCCGTCCCGCAATCGCGAGACCATTCAGAGGCTTTAGCGGGTGTTCACCCCGCCTGTGTTCAGATGCTGTTGACTTGCAGGACTCTTTGTTATCAAAGCTTTCAAAGCCAGGCGCAGTAGTCGGCTCAGCGTCCTTGTGCAGCCCAAAACAGTCCATTTAGCTTGTGGTTGCTAGGGCTGGTCATGAACCTCTCAAAGGGAACCAACGTCAGCTTCCCGATTGGTGGTTTGGATTGGTGCTAGGTGTGTCGCAGGTGGGAAACCATCCAAATCCAAACCCCCGGACTCCAAGCCACCAGGGACTCACCTGAAAGTTTCAGGAGGGTCTGCATTTCTTGGCTCCCAGCGATCCCTTAGCCTTTTAGATCTTTTTAGATCTTTTTGGTTTCCATTTCACCCACGAAAAAGTTGGCCACTCGCGGATCTCTTGAAACGGGCAGCCAGATTTGGTTGTGGTTGAGGCTTTGGGGAGCCAGATGCCCCAAGCTTGACTTCAGCCAATGCCTGCCTGAGCGCGTTGGAGCGGGCCAGCGGCTTCGGCCGGGACTGGGAGGGATCGATCCGGTTTACTTGCTGCTTCCCGGCCATCCGGTTCCTTAAGCGTGAACCTGGCTTGTCCTCGTTTCCATGAAACTGGAGGTTAAACTTTTAAAGGGGATCTGGGAACTGCGGTTTCTGGGATTCGTTTCTGAGAAGTTTGCTGACCAGCTTGCGCTCAGATTGTTTTCTGGCAGCTTTTGAGGAGTATGGCCAGTGGGTTCCAGAATGTCATGCCAGGATCGTAATACTTGTCTTGGCAACCATGAATTCTTTACACACCAGAACGAGCAAAGACAGCCGCTTGAAGGCAAATGCGTTGGTTGGCCCTATCAACACCTGCGGCTGGGGTTGCATGTGTGTTCCACACAGTTTGTTGGGAATCGCATACTTGCAGGATGCAATCGTCTGTTTGGGACGATGCACATTTTGAAAGCAATGTCCAAGCCTGAAGTGTTTAATACATGGCCTCAACCAGAAGAGGGGGGGATTATTTGTCCCTTGCGGTCACTACCAGCCACGTGGAGCAGCCACGTGGAATTTTGGCGGTGTTGGTCTTGAAAGCCTTTCTGGGTTCCAACAAGCGGGTTAACGCTTGCATGTGATCATGTCTGCACCCAGGGTGATTCAAAGAGGTGCCTTGTTTTCAGGACCCTTGACGATCACCGAACCAGTGAATGGTGAAGCGACGAGGTCAGTGGCGCAGGGCAACGGTGCTGCTTCACAGCTTCCAGCGCCACAGCTTGCAGCCAGATGAGGCGTGCGCTCGTGAGCTCATGAGCTGGGCTGCTCAGACGCTTCCCTTTGGCCTTTTGAAGTCAGGGCTCGTGCAATGTCTAGGAGACCTTTTCTGGTTTGGTTTTAGGGGCTTGTGTAGGGTCGAAGCAAAACTGTTGGAGAGGCAGCGCCGACGGCACGGGCTTCTGGCCCGTCTTTGGCTTTTTCGCCAAAGACGGGGAACCCATTTCGGTGTGCTACGCCATTTGATTTTGGGGGCGCAAGCCCATGCCGAGATTCACCATTCCTTACAGCGGATCGGCCCCAAGCTCAAGCTTGGACCTCCAGTCGGAGTTCACTTCGACCAAGTGGTCCCTCCGTTTCGCGGGCCAAGGTGCCTGCGTCATGCCCAGAGGTGCCGTTTATTGGTCGTTGCAAAACCTACCTAAACTTGCAGATCTTTAGAGCTTCAAGGGGTTGTGACACATCCCTCCAGTGTGTTTCCACACTTTTAGCCAGGGATCGCCAACTCGCTTTCTGGACTTTTTCATAAAACCATTTCCAGCAAACAAAACGGTTCCCAGCTGGGCCAAGAATCGAGTTACACCAAGCCATACTCCTGAAAGGGAAGCCCCATTTGTTTGTTGAAGGAACACTGTTCTGGTTGTTTTTTAAGCAGAAACCGCCGAGAAAGCCGAAAACCATGTCTTGGGTCACCCATTGACACATGGAGTGTTTTGAAACAGGGGGTCCCCCAAAACACGTTTGTGGTGTCCCTGCAGCCTCCAAAGATCGACACACACCAGCACCATCCAGCACCCCCCCCAAAAGCACTGCTTTTTCCCAGCTCCAAATCCCAAGATACGGCAAAAGCAAGAGCAGGAGTGGGGCCCCGGGTGCTGGCACTAGTAGGTCTCCTACAACACGGCCATCAGCGCCTGCAGCGGGCGCTTGAAGTGGCAGCACTCCTTGGCCTTGCTGAAGCAGATGCGCCGGAAGATGCTGCGGACGGACTCGGCCGCCTCGCGGAAATGGGTCGATGTATCGAGGGTACCTTCAAGCAAAGACCGCATTTTCGTCAAATGTGGGTGTGTCTTTTTGAGGGTACCTTTTGTCGGTCGTTCCAAAGGAAAGGAAACCACTTTGTGGGTTCTCAAGAGAGGGAGAGCGGGAGAGAGTGGGAGGGAGAGGGAGGGAGAGGGAGGGAGAGGGAGAGGGAGAGACTCCCGGAATGGAGACGTGTACTCGGTGCCGAATACTAGTCGAGTGTTTCTGAACATGATGTGACAAGCCCCTCTTTTGGTCAGTGATTAAGGGGAAACCAGTGGGAAACCCGTGCCATTTTTTCTATTTAAGGGAAGTACAATTATTTTGAGAAACCACAAATTTGAGCATCACGTAGGGAAAAGAGGGCACCCTTGGAAAAGGTTGCCCAAAATACAGGGCACTCTTGTCATTCATGGAGGCATTCAGGCTTGGCGAAGGGCTGCTCTCCAGGCGACTGTCGCGTTGGGGCCGTTTTTGTTGCTGGGTGTGCGGCTGGTTTCGCAGTGACCCCACCCAAAGTAAACCCAACACACACCCAGGATATCAGCTCTGGGTCCCAGGCCAAATGAACCACGAACCAACCCAACGCCTGCCACTAGCTGCGGAATCCCAAACCCCGACCTGCCTTGTATTTTCCGTTTCGCATGCTTTCCTCGCATCCGTGGTCCTGTACCAACACCCATTGCCCATGCAGCCTTTAAAAGGAAAGCCAAACGGTAAAACCGCTATGATAGTTGAGGGTCCCACTCTGAGACGAAAAATCCACCATCATAGATGGAATTCCTCTATTTTCAGACACCAAAACTACATTTTGCCCGGGGATCCTTGTACGACCCATTTTGCCGGATTTGTTGGAGCCAGCGAGGTCACCTGGACCGCCTGCATCACCGCCTGCAGTCAGGGCCAGAATGCCGAAGCTGCGCTGGCCCTCTTCGACCAATGCGAATCCGGCAACATCGTGGCCGCCTCAGCGTGTCTACCGCGGATGCCCTAAACATTGCAAGAGAACAGGAGGAACCCTGCAGCTTCCCATGGTTTGTGGCCGGTTTACTTGCAAGAGTTCGGGCTTTGGAATCATTGTGAACAGGAGAAATTGTTTTTGACAGCTTGGGTTTCTGCTGGTTGGTTGTCCAGTTGGGAGGCACCTGGGGGAACTAGATTGCCCACCAAAATCCAGTGGTTTGTCCTTCTTGGGGAACAAACCGCAGGTGTTTTTTTTCCTGAGCAAATGCCCCTGTCTGCTATTTCGTGAGGACTGTGAATTGCAACTAGGTCTCATCCGTGTCAAGCCAAAAAGGGATGTGACCATTCAGACAGCTGTTTCCGACCCAAAAAAAACATGTCCGATTGTTCAAGGCTTTGCCGCAGATTTGACCTAGGAGAAGAAACAATTTACAGCAACACTCATGCCTCGGTAACAGTTAAGAACTTTTGCCTGGGTATTTGCCCGGCTCTTGCCTACAAAATGTGTTTTGTTTGTTGGTTGCTAAAAATGACACATGAGTCCTGGCGAGAGTGCCTGAGTGTGTGAGCAATGGATCGTTGCCACATGGACACGCTTATTTTAATTGAGGCCACTATTGTAGAAAGCATTTTTCCCAATTCAGGATCCTGGGGCTATATTGGGGTCCTCCATTCTGGAAAGCTCTTGCCCCATCCCGAAGTGGAAAACCGGTCAACAAACACGAGCCTTCTTTCTTGGGAAGCAGTTACCAGACCAAAGCCTTAGATCTAGAAATTCCAGTTTTACAAGTGGCCCCCGAACCTATCTTTACAACCAAATCCCAGATAGAGCAAAAAACAAGGCCAAGCAGCAGCAGCCCCTTGGGGGGAGGGTGACATTGCCAGAGCAAAGCCGTAGCCGTTTGCTTTGAAGGGTGGTTCACCCAGGCCCTTCCCAGCGCAAAGGCTAAAGGCCTTAGATCTTGGCAAAACTAAGTTTAGTCTTGGCAATACTTAAGTCAAGTAAAGTCCAACCCAGGCCCCACTAATTTCCGACTAAAGAGGGTCAACATGACTGTTGGCGCTGTTTGGTGGGGGAGGGGACCGATTAAGGCAGGTTCTACATTACATGAAACTGAAGTCACAGGAAAAGGCGGGAATCCCAAGCAGCCTATAAGATGAACTGTGCGTCGCAGCTTGTGCCAAGCCAAAAAGTTGTGTCAAAACTTGCGTGTCAAAACACCAGAAAATCAGAACAAAGACATAAATCACCACAAAAACGTAAGTTGACGATTGCGTCAAAACTTGGGTCACAACTTGTGTAAACTCCAGACACGCACGGGAAACTTAAAAAGAAGTTAAGCCAGTCACCAAGCAGGGCCGTGTCAAAACTTGTGTCAAAACTCCCCCGTGTCAAAACTTTTTGTGTGTCAAAACTGTGTCAAAACTTTTGTGTGGTTATATGCAGTAGGTTGTGAAAAGTTTTGACACGGCAGTTCTGCCAAAGTTTTGACACAAGCTTTGACACGGGAAGTTTTGACACAAGTTTTAAAACGGGCCTGTTTGGTGACTTGTTTGACTTGATTTGCATTTCCCGCGCGCGTTGGGAGTTTTGACACAAGTATTGACACGGCCCTGTGTGTGTCAAGGGGCTCCGTTTCCGGTATGTTTTGGAGACTTGAAGCGTTCGTAAAGGGGCTACTTTTCCGTTACGCTTTGGTAGTTTCCAAAACTGGCCGTGTCGAAACTTGTGTCAAACTAAAATGTGTCACTGAAGTTTTGACACGAGCGACACATGTGCGTATTTTGGGATTGTTTCGGGATTGTGGCCCGCACGTGTGATTCGTGAGATCATGCCGGCAGTCCAAGCAACTGGGAAAAGGGAACGCGCTTGCCCCACACGGCACAAGGCCTAATAAATGTGGGACCTGCTTTAATCGGTCCCCTCCTCAAACAGTACCAGCACCTCTTTAGTCGGAAATTGGGGGTGGGTTGGGCTTTACTGGATGTTGTATTGCCAATGTCAAACTCAGTATTGCCAAAACTTAATCGTAGATTCAAGTCGTTAATTTAGTATTACTACGACGTGTTCAATATTGCCAAGGATATTGCCAGTATTTAATTTAGTGTTGCCAAGGCTTTATCTTACATTTCCTGTACTTAATTTAGTACTGGCAACTTGTCTTTATTGCCTAGATCTCAGGCCTTTAGCCTCTAAGCTGGGAGCTTGGGTGAGGCTAGGGCTTTGATCTGGAAGTTTCACCCCCCGCCAAAAAGAACTTGCCATCAAAAAGGAGTCAGATTCAAGAGGATCAGAGGCTCCTGCAGCCTGCGGGCGACCCTTCTGTGAATGGCTTGGCATTTTGTTAATGGTGTATATAAACAAATGATGGTTTGTTTCCTAGATTTAAGGCCTTTAGCCTCTGAGCCAACAAAAACAACAACAAAGTGACACTAACGAGAACTCACACAAGTCAGATTGAAGATGGTCGGGGGCTCCTGTGGGCAACCCCCTGCTTGTGACAGTTTGGCCTTGTTGCTTTTTGCAATCAGGGATTTATACAAAGATTGATAGTTTTGGGACCACATGCGAAACTGGATTTTCTGGATGAGGCTTCTCCATGTGTTGTTTCCAAAAAATGAAATCCCGTTGTTTACATGTTTTGGAGTGGGCAAAAACACTTGCCACAATAGAGGACCCCAAAAAACAAACTGTCTACAATAGCTGCCCCAATTAAAAAGAACGGGCCCAACATGTTTGATCATGGCTCCTAAAGCTAACATTCGTAACACCACATGGAACACTTTCACAAAAAGGGCAGCTATCATCGTCACATGTTTCACCATAACTTGAAGAGCAGAAAGGTCCAATGGTGCAGAGCCTCCCAGAACCCACTTTGCAAACTTGTTTATTTGACTGTCTGAAAATCAAGCCTGCTTTAGAGGCCACTTAAAAAAAGAGCCCGCGAAATAGCATAAGGGGGACATATATCTATATTCTCGTGTTGGAGTGAAGGGCAAATCCAAGGCAAACCTAGAAGCTCGGAAACACCTCCAGCTAAAGCAAATGTGCTATTTTGTAGCCATCAAAATAAAACACACTTTTTCCAGACCACAAGGATGCGGATAGCCAACAATGGGTCCTTAACAGTGCTCACGAAATACATACCCTGAAGGGGCGTGGTTTCTTGGTAGGTTCCCTTCAATTTGAGCGGCTCATTTGGCGACTGTGAATATGTAGCAGCTGCTTTAGGAAGGACAGGGCAAGGATGATGAGGCTGACATGATGGCTGACATGCAACCCCCAGTAGCTTTCAGAGGTGCGAAAAAGCACAAGCAGAAACAGGCAAGGTCAGAAATATGTATAGATTATATATAGGTACATTCACACACACACATACTGTCTACCTGTACAGCAATTGTGTGTATGTCGTTCATTTTGTCGCATAGAACTCCACTCAGTGTTCTGTTTGGGCGGGTTCTGCTTGCCGTGAGCGCGGGAGTCCGCGTTTTGCCGGAGGCAGTCACCAACGCAGCGATCGCCTCGTGTGCCACGACACAGTCCTGGGATCTTGCCATCCAGTTGCTGAACACGCATTTGTCTGAAGACCCTCGGCCGTGATTTGCCCTAAGGGGGTAGTTGCAAAATTGGCTACAACAACCCAAAGTAAACCATGTTGGTTTAAAGCAGCCGCAAGAAGCATGTCAAAGCTTGTTAAGATTGAATCGGTTCCTCCTTTGGGTTTCCCTTTTTGGGTTTGTGTTCGTTCAAGGGAAGCCCGAAAGAGTCTGCTTAAACAGGGATTTAAGAACGCGCAAGGGCTAACCCCGGCTCAAAGCAGATCGACCTGTTTGACCTTTTTTGGGTTTCCAGCGCTAAACCTTTTGTTTTGCAGGTCTATTGTGCACGTGGCGCTTGGAGCTCAAAACGAAAGACTTGTTAGTGGGCAAGCATAGATTTCGGCCTTTGTGGTATCATTTTAGATCGTTTCAGTGGCATCTTGTGCTGACTCTTAAACGGGGATCCCGAAGTGGTTCGCCTTTGTCGACCCTCAGTGATTGCAGCAAGTCCCATCCCTTCGTTTTCGATCCGAGCGTCGGAAAGGTAGGCACCTTTGGATGGAGACTCCCTTGGGTAATCGCTGGCTTCACACAAAGAGCAGGTCCTTGCGATGTCAAAAGTGGAGAAAGGACGCCTATAGGAAATCTACATGTTCGAGTCCTTGAACCTCTCTTCCCGGTATTGCTGACATACTCTGCTGTAGGGCACCCACAGTGCCACACCCGCATTTCTCCGGCCGATAGGACAGCGACGCGAGGGCCGACGCAGTATCCTTCAACTCCACTATCGCAGCTTGCGGGGTCGCGCAGGCCGCGGTTTCGCCTGTCGCGAGCCGACTGCTTGCTCAGAAAGCCGACCTTTTGCTTCTCTCATGTCAATAGTTCATGGTCCTAAAGCCTCTTCAAGGGTTCGAAACCTAACATGCGAGACTCCCTTCGCTGGTGTGGTTTGGCGATGGAACTCATAACTTGGATAAAGCACCAATCCCAACCGACGCGTGGCGTGGATTTCGCCCATCATCCTGGTGCTCGGTCCACACGATGATTCCACGGATCCCACGCAATCTGACTGCCTTGGCGCTCGATCGGCCCAAATCCCCTGTTAGGCCCAAGTCGATCTGCAAAACCTGCGGAGACACTGTCCTTATTACGCCTCTATTCGTTTTTCCAAACATGAGGGGCCTCCAAACGAGTGGTTGCCCTTGAGATTCCTTTTGGAATTGCCTCAAGCGGATTCCTTTTTTTCAACGAACTTGCCCATTTGGCGGTGTTTTAGAGCCCCTGTTAGGTTTGTTTCAAAGGGACTAAACATGTCCGGTGCAATTCCCTATTTTGGGGGACCCTCATTTTGGTCCAAAAGGGCAGGCCTGGGAGCTAAAAGCAAGATACACATTTTGTGGAACTCCTGTCCCAGTGGGAGATATACCCATGTTGGTACTGGTTTTCATCAATGAAATGGAAATCGAAAGGTGATGAATGTTCATTTCAGTTGCTTTCAGTTTTGTCCCTTGTTGACACCTAAAGGGACTCAAACTCCATGAATGGGTTCCATATAAGTGCGTCTCAGAACAGGTGACCCCTCAAGATGAATGGTTTCCTTTTGGTGTTCCACTCCGCCAAAAAAGCGGGGTGAACCATATGGCCATGAGTCAAAACCCCCTACCCCCAGTGAACATCCGATTCAATCCAACCACTAAAATAGGAAGCCTAAAATGCGCGGTGAATTCACCAATCCCACCCAAAATGGGATCCCATATCTAGTGTAGGTCCCCCAGTAGTGCCCTTTCTCACCATTTTTTTGGGGAGGGTTCCCCTACTAAAATAGACAAAGCCGAAAAAGTTGGTACCCTTATTCTTACCTCTCTACTGGAGGACACCGGTTTTGACACCCACAGCCATCTCCAGGCCTGGGAGTCGGCGCTGGCCTTGACACACCTCGCGGCGGACCGCGGGCTCCTGGGCGACGTGGCGCTGGGCGCGGCCATGGCCGCCGTCGCCAAGGCCGCGCGCTGGACGGCGGCTCGGTAGCCCGGGGGGGGAGGGGGGGGAGGGGGGGGGGGGGGCTGTTGGTCGTCGTTGTTTTTTTTGGGATAACGGTGCTGACTTGTTTCCCTCTGAAACAAAACAGGGGGACACCAACTCAGAAAGAGGAAGAAACCCAGTTGAGTAAACCCTCGGTTGATTCATGGGAGGGTTTGCCCGGCCCTTTTAGTGTGAATCGGGATCACTTTTATGGGTGAGTGTTACCACCCTGTCAGTAGGATGGGTTTATTCATCCGGAGTTCCCATTTGCTGACACAGTTTCCCTGTTGGTTTCGTCAAAGGAATTGCAGGGGTGGTTGCAGGATGTCCGGGAAAAGCCAGCCAACCCTGGCCCCCCTTTAGAGGGAAGCCCTAAGGTGTGTATTTAGCAACAAGCCAGCCAACCCTGGCCCCCCTTTAGAGGGAAGCCCTAAGGTGTGTATTTAGCAACAATGGTATAAACGTGTTCAGACAAGCGATTGAATTGACCAAGCAAAGGGAGCGGAGGTGGTGAAACGAAAGCGGCGGCGGAATTGGAATTGGGGGGGACACCTGTCCATTTTCAAGTGACCCCTTTACTTGAGGTTGCTAGGGAGGGTCATCCACCTCTTCAAACTCCACCTCGTAAAAGGGTTTGAGGGGACCCCATGTCCCGCACAAGGAGTTTTGACCGTGGCAGAAGTTGCCGTGATGTGGCCCTGAATTGACCCAAATCTCGGCAGCTGCCAACAAGCCTATCCATGAAGGTCCTTCTGGGGTGCCAGCTTGTGAAACATCATCGTTTCTGCCAAATGTTAAAGTTCAAATGGACTCAACCACAGCATGGGACCACCCAGCTGCGTTTTGCTCTATGGACATAGATGGTGAATTCTTCCGGGACCATGACTAAGGCTGGTTTCCAGAAAGAGCTGCAATCAAAAGGTGAACCGTCGGCCTTAGCCAACATGATGGCCGCATTTCAACAGCGTGAGGTTCTAAGGCCTGTATGTTGCACATATCCTGACCCAGTCATAAGCTTTATGCAGTTTGATTTGTTTGCCACAGGCATGTAAAACTTGGTTTGGTGTCCTTTTGTTTTCCTTGACCGAGGACCAATGGGACCAGAGTCAAAGATATTGTTGGTCAGGCAAAAGCTTAGGTAGGAGAATGAGAACAACTCAAATGCGGATATTTGCTTGGAAGACGTACTTTTCAAACCCATTCTCACTTGCCAATGCCGACTCTGTGCTGTTTGGTGGCCCGAAGGTTCACTCAAGCTTTGCCTGGCACCTTGAACGTGCCAAATACAGTAGCACACATAATTCACGAATGTCCCAAAAGCAAACCAAACAAGCTGGATATGTCCCAGACCAAGTGAACCAGTAGCAAAGCAAACCAACTACTCTCCCTCCCACTCTTTCTGAGGACACCGATCTTCCAGGTACCTTCCCACAGGTGCTATGTTAGTGGGAGGAAAACTGCAAACCAAGAAGCCAAAACCAAATCCAACGAATGTCCAAAGAACGGCACGCGTGATTTTGAGACGCGAGCCTTTTCACACGCCGGGCCAGCCTTTGGATCACAAACCGACGGATTTTGTTCGTTCGACTTTCTGGGAACCCGCCTCATATTTCAAGAAAAAAAGTCGTCCAGGAGCCCCCAAAAGGTCTGGTTGATTCCATGCCAGTAAAAAAGCAGGGGGGATCTTCCTTCATGAACCAAAGTTTCTTCGACCACATTTTTTTCCGGGCAAACTTGGAGGCGATGGAAGCCGAATGAGTCGCGCCAGGAAGCCTTGCAGCTCCTGCGCACCGCCTCGGAGTTCTCCGTAGCTATCCACCAGTCGATTCTGAAGACTGCGCGGCGAGCGCTGCTGGCAACCGGGAGACTTCCGGGAAAATGTGGCGCAAGATGGACGCATCATGCAACCCCTTGGTTTGCCGGACCGAATTCTTCCAACTGCAAGGTGTTGTCATGTTTGGTGGCTCGTTCTATCCTTTAGGTTAATTGGAAGAGCTACGAAACGTGGCATCCTTTGATGGTGCTGCTGCCCTGTGCCGCCTTTGCAAAGAGAAGACCAAACAGATGCCCCTAATTTGGATGGCCAGACACATGCCCACCAAGTTTATGTATGTGGTTTTCTCGTCTTGCACAAACAATGGTGACAGTTTCAGGAACAGTAGGAACAAAAGGTTTGGTTCAAGATGCTGCCAATGTCCAATGTGCCCCAGCGGTTGCGATTTGTGCATGCTTTCAAGCAGTTGGTTGCTTCTCATGTCCCCAACAAACCATAGCAACCAACCAAGTAAACATACTAACAAGCAAACAAAAAAGCAAACAAACAAGCAAGCAAGCAAGCAAACAGCCAGCCAGCCCCAGCCAAAAAGCCAGAAGCCGAAGTCTAATGATAAGCCAAAAAGAAAGTGCAAGAAAGCAGGCAAGCGGGCACTCAGGCAAGCAAAGGAGGCAAGCAAAGGAGGCAAGCAAAGGATGCAAGCAAAGGATGCAAGCGAAGATTTTGGTGTTTGCCCTCCTTTTTCTTGGAGTTGTTTTGCTGGCTGCCACAGGCAGTTTGTGACGTGTGCATGTACTATCCCCTTCTTGAAAAGGGGTAAGTTGCAATCAATGCCGTAGACAAAATCCAGGCATCCAAAGAAACACGGGCCGTTATGCTTACACTGGACAAACCACGCGTGGAAGCCACAGTTAAACTCCACGTCACACAATGTGGCTCATGTACCATTTTTCAGATTTTTAGTTGAGAGCATGATGATACTTTGCGTACTGACATGCGCAGCTTGTGCGGCAGTGCGCAGGCTGATCACGCTTGTAAGTTTGATATGGACAGGTTGCAGCATTTCTTTCTTTGGCACAGGCAATTGAGCTGATTGCCAAATACTCCCCCAACACCAATAGGCAATACCTATGAGGCAAAATTTGGGTGAATACTTCTCGGATCGCAATCCCGGATTCCCTCGTTCAACACCCGACGCTTTGCTTCAGCCATGCTGCCTGGCCTATGTTTCTTCGTGCTTGCGGGCCTGCGGCCCGTCGCCGCAGACGGCGGTCCAAAATGCGCAGGATCGGGGTGCAAACTGGGCCCTTCACTTGACCCATGCAGCCTGTTGGAAAAAGGTAACCTCAAAGAACCTAGGCGAAGGCAGGCGCCGGAAGGTGTTTCAAGCCCAGGATGCCCGCACGTTACTGGGGCTGGCATGGCGGAGGTGGATGGCTACTACTATCAGGGGACGCCCGATCCAACCTTCAGTTGGGTGGACGGCGCGCAGGCCTACTTCGTCTTGCAGGAAGCAACATCTGGCACACAGCAAGGCCTCATAGATCTTTACTACAACAAAAACACCCAGGCTTGGATGATCTCCAAAGACGGCACTGAGCGCTACACCCGCAGTGGCTTCTATTTCATAGGTACTTGGAGCACCTACGGCGCCAGCAGTACACCTGCCCCGGCTGTCGCAGTGCACTGCAATAACTGCCTTGCGGTCTCCGACGCGGGAACCAGCCGCGTGAACGGGGACTATCTATTGGCCACCCCCGACGCAACGCATACCTGGGTGGATACAGCACAGAGCTACCACGTGCTCACCCCAGCGACCAACAACATGATCAGCACGCAGGACGGACTGGTGGATCTATACTACAACAAGGACTCATGATCTTCACCGCTTTCGTTGTCAGACTTGCGGGTTGCGGGTTGCTCCGAGTTCCCGAGAAATGAGTTGCCACTTCCGTAGATCGGCTTGGCTTCCTTACCCCAAAACCTATCGCAACGGCAGAGGAATATTGCGGGTTCCCCTTTGAAACAGACCATTCATCCCTATCTTCACTGTTGTTCGAAGGTGTGTTTTAGGTTTTTAGGATTTGGGTTCTTTTATAATTTGTTAGGCTGCTGATAATGTTGACCCCGGATTAATCGACCCCTGTTTATTAGTATGGGGTGTTCCCCTGCAAAAGTGATAAATCCCCACTAAACCCAGGGACACCCCCCCCGATGAATCCCGAATCAACTGGGGTTGATTCATATGGGGTCAGCATTAGGACACCCAGAAGTGGATGATCTCGGTGGATGGCACGGAGCTTTACACTGGTACCTCAAAGCAAGGCCCTTGGAGTGTCTACAACGGAATGGGCGCCCAGCCACCGCCACAGGCGCTTTCCGGCGTGTTCCTTTTGAAATTTGCCAAGAAAAAGCCCACAAAAGGAATATGGTACCTCCGAAAAGGACACAGCCGCAATACAATGGCCCTCAAAGGCTACATGGCCAAATCAAACACCATTTAGCTGGTTCAAGGGCTTTCTGCATGTTAGGCGTATCATTTAAGGGACCCTGCATAAGGGGCTAGAAAACTACACACTATTCTTATGAACGTTATTTTTTGGTAACCCACGCCCCATCCTGATTTCTCGGGCCTTATGGAGAGCACCTCTAGAGTCTCAACAACTTAACAACTTCCTGTTGGTTCGTCGTTTTCCTCGGGTGTCAGGGTCTCACCAATTGCACATCATGTTAGGTGCTTGATGCCATGACCGCCTTCCAGTCATCGCCGTCCAGCAACACGGACTCAGGGGACGCACAGGCAGCCGCAGCTGCCGGTCTCACTCTGTGGCTTTGGACGCTGGCCTAGGTTCGCTTTGGAGCACTTGTGTTTCTTGGTTTTTATAGGGAGCCAGAGTGGGAACTGGGTTTAAAGTTCTTTAAACCTGGGTTTTCATAGGGAGCCACCCGAAAAAAGTCATGAATATGAATCCCCGAATTGGGTCTCCACTGGAGATTCGGCGGTGGATGTCAGGAAGGTTCGAAGCGAATCCAGGAACGAGAGGCTCACTCAAAGGGCATGTCAAATGCCATGCCCGCGCCTCGCAAAAACCTGAGGTCAGGACCTGAAAAAAGCAAAACTCGGCCGGGGGAGGCGTTGAAAAAAAAGCGAGGGCGAAGTCTCTCAACTAGGTCCCCCAGTAGTGCCCTTTCTCACCCTTTTTGGGTGGAGGGTTCCGCCACTAAAATAGACTACAGAAGAAAAAGGGTACCCTTATTTTTCAACCTCTCTACTGGAAGACCTAGTCAAAGAAAGGCACGCCGTTCTGCGAGCTGGCCGGCACCATGGTATGCTCTGTGTATGACGAAATCCGACGATGTACCGGGTCTCTTTGAAACTATTTGCGAGGTTAGGACCGCTGGCAAACCTCAAGATCCTTAGTTTCCTTTCAGAAAGCGAATCTCAAAACAACGAATGTTGATGACTCTGTGTTATTCCCGGATCATTGAAACAAAGGTTCAGGAGTATTGAAATGGATAAAATGGTGTTCCTGCCAATAAATTGAGAAGTTGTTGATGTATTCAAAGTCTGAAATTCTGTATCAAACTTTCAATACTGGAACTTAAGCCAAAGTCCTAAATCAAAGCCTTGATCCCTACTCACAATATTAAGCATAAACCAAAACAAGTATCCCTTTAAACTCTGAAGAACATGAGCCCTTAACCCAAATCTGAAACCCCAAGCAATACAAATCGCTTCCCCCTATTGATGATTAAGTCCCCCACAGATATCATTGATTATAGGGTCTCAGGGGGTCATACTCCAAACCCCTTTGCCGGGCACAAAAACCGTCAAAATCATAATCTGCCGAGAAAGGAACTTATATGAAATTGCTCAAGGCACTTCTCGTTTTTTGTCAATTCCATAAGGGCTGTCAGCAGTTACCGGTTGGTTTAGTGTTGGGTGAATAAACAGTAAACGGGGAGAGAAGGTTGTTCGATGTTAGCCCGAAAACGAGTATTTAATAGGGGCCTGATCTAAGAAGAGGCAGGGATGAATTCCAAACCAAAGCCTCGACTCCTAAATCGAGCCTAAACCAGACAAACCCTTAAACCCTAAACACAATATCTTTGTTGCATTTTGCTTGGCTGTTAGGACTTTAACTTTTTGCCAACTCATTGGTTTTCCATTAAACCACTAAAAGTTAAACTTTTAGCAGGGGAGCAGAAAGCAACCGAGTTATAAACCTTAAACCAAACAGCAACTTAACACTTTGAACCCTGAACACTTTTGGCCCCAAGCCCAAACTTTAAAGCCAAACCTGTAACCCGACGCAGTTTTAATCCTAAGCTAACTATTATCTATATAACAAATTTTGTTTGCTATCCCAGCCTGGGCCTAGCCGCGGGCTTGCGTGTTTCAAGCTTCCCACAGATTGTCCTTTGGGCGCTGCTGCTTTGGGCTCAAGCTTGTTTCTCTCCGGATGAGCAAAGCGGGAAAATGTTCTGAATGGTTTCAGCGGAGAACAAATGCCAGGCATTTGAGTAGACTCAGTCGATTTGTGTGGGCCGCCCAATGGCGTGTGGTTGCTGCGACGTCCCTGCAGAGGTGAAGCAGATGGAAGCTAATGTATCGCAAGTGGTTCAAGATGCCACCATCGTGGCTTGGCCTGTAAGTGCTTTGGAATCCACCAAATTCCACAAAAAATTGATGATTTGTCTACAAGCCGTTGGAGTACACTTCCAATCAATCATTAATCCCTCCTCGAAAGCCCAGCACCTCTAATGATCAGTAAATAAAGCCACAAATTCTCCTGAAATCGTTGAGTGGCAGAGATTCCGCTCCAAGAGTGCCCCGAGTGCTCAAATGGCGAACTTGTACGAATATTTCACAACATTGATCATATGTTTACTGCGCTATTCTCGAGAGGATGCGGGGATGCAATAAATTGTTCATTTATAGGTCGACATAATTGTAGAGTTCACTGCCTGCAAGGAGCGTACCCAATACCACATAGGTTCTTTGCTCGTGTGAAAAACAGTTCTTGGTTGGTCAAAGAGGGCCCACAATCGTGATGTCCTATCTCAGGGAGACAATCCAAAGTGTCACGACGCATCAAGATGTTTGACCCAGTCCTGCGGCAGGATTTCTCTACTTTTGATCCAGCACCACCAGTTTGGTTGGTGTAAAAGTGGTGGTCATGGCACGACGGGCAACACTCCCCAGGTGGCCAACCGTTCTATCCTGGGATCGCAGGCGAATTCAATCCTCGTGCCAGGCGTTGTACTTTGGGCTGGGGACCGGTGAGCAGAGCCTGGATTTCGTGGCAGGCGCAGTTTTTAGATGGACTCACATGTGGCGGAAGTACATGATTGCCCCAGCCCCCTCCCCCTCCCTGAGCGCGCGCCCGCTCGTGACTGGGCCGACGTTATTGCCCCCCCACCCCTTTCCACGCTCGCAAACGAATCCGTACGCAGGCTTGCGCGCGCGCATGAGCAGACATCATTGCCCCACCGCCCTCTCCCCACCCCCCGCACGTGCGCACATGAGTGAACCCCACACAAAGTCCCTTCCCCACCCGCCAAGCAACCCGGAATGCAGCCCACGCGGTACTGCGGCAACTCCTCCTTCCCCAGCTGCCCAGCCGAGCTTGCGTGCTTTGCGGTCCCGAGGCTGGCCCATTTTTGGTATCGCAGGCGCATTCAATCGCATTCAATGTCTTCGCAAGAAATGCCTTTGAAGCTACCTGCGAGAGCACCCTTCTGGAGCTGGATTTTGTGGCAGGCGCAGCACTTTGGGGATTGTGTGCTGCTGTGATCCCAGAATTGGCTGCTCCTGCGTGGCGCGCTCTGGTGATCCTAGGATTGCGTGACCCCGCGACCCCAGGCAACCATACATGCATGCATGTGCGGGGGTGTGGCTTAAAACCTTGGTCAACATTTCTGTGGGCTTAACGTCATTCACTCAATCCAATGGTTGGTCTTTGTGCGTGTGGCGCGAAAGAGCCCGAGGCGGTTGAGGCGGCTGTGGAGAAAGCCGAAGGCGCCGTTGAGGCGGTTGTGGAGAAAGCAGAAGATGCTATCAAGACCGCAGCAAGTGAGTTTGAGGCAGCCTCTGAAAGTGGATTCTTTGAATCCCGAGAGTGTTTTTTTGTCGTTTTCTTTCTTTTTAATTTGCTTTATGTGAGCCAGGGCATCTAGAATATAGAATGCCGGGGATGCTGCATTCGTCTTCACCAAGGACTGCAGACAGTGAAACGCTTTGTTGAAGCGAAGCTGCGGACGACCTTGAAGGCGATTCTCAAAAATGTGCCTCCCGCCATCAAAGATGCTACGGATGACAAGGATTTGCCAAAGTTTGCCAAAGAGGTGAAGGATGACGGCATTGATATTATGTGGCACGATATTCAAGTAGAGATCATCCGGGAGATTGAGGCCAGTGAGAAAAGTCGTTGAAGCCGCTTTTTCGAACACAGCTTCTAAGTAGCCATGTATTCGGAAAATTCCAAGAGTTGGGGTTGTTTAGGTAATGTCTTTTCTTGCATGATGTTGTTTCATCAGCTGCGATTGCAACCGGATAGGAAGGAGCCTTTGGTGAAGAAGAAGAGCCAGATGCTCCAGGCTGCTGCTGTTGCATCAATTTCGTGAGGTATCACCTGTATCCCTACGATCGTGGCCTGCCTGGTGTGTTTCAGGATCCCTTCTTCTTGCTTTGCTCCTCGGCTGGCGTTTTTCTTGGTTTCGTTGTGGCACCAAGCTCTTTCAGAATGCGCCTTGTTTCCAGATGCTCTTAAGAAATCAGCTTCACAGAATATGACCCAAGGCTTCTTCATTGCACTATGCCCTTTGTTCAGCATTGCGCCATACATGTTTTTGCTGATTTTCTTGGTCATCGACAAGAGCGACGAGTTCCAGCTCCTGTTTTTCATTCTGCAGGACACTCGGCTGAAGCCAATGTGGTTTTAGAGGGCCTATCAAACTCTTAATCTCAACTGCGAGTTTTTGCATTTGGGCAGTTTGGGCTCCTTTCGTATGTTTGTTGCTATTTTTTTACCAGGGATGTCTTTCCCGACACCAAAAGAGTGGGCACCTAAAGCTAGCAGAATCCGAACCTCCACATGTTGGCGGCTCTGAAATCGCGGTAGAGGGATCCACGCTTTGGCTGAGGTCCGCGGGATGCAATTTCCATCCGATGGGATGTTGGCCGTATACATCAGGCGGGCAATCTCCGCATTCCGCATTCCGCATTTCTTGTTGGGAAAGGCTGTAGCATCAGGATAATAGTTTCTTTAAGTTTAGACCAAACGAGAGCATTGAAGCAGGCAAGCTTGGTAGAACCCCAGTGAATGTTTTAAGATCTCATCTCCACGATCGGAACATGCTGCTTGCAAAGATGCTGGTGAGTGTGCCGCGAGGTTTGTTGAGCTCTTCCTCTGTGTGCAAAACGGCAAGGACTGTCTTGCGAGCACCATCATTCCTTCGACTTGGCAAGAGGTGCCTCAGCACCGATTTTGACCAAAATGACCCAACAAGTTGTCTCAAAAAGAACCAGTGCCGAACATTTGAATTCACAATTCACAACAATCCCGCCAAATTTCACAAGATATCACAAGCATGTTTTCCAGAGCAGTGCTAGGTGCACTTATACACGGATTTCATCGGCTACGTGCTTCGGCTTCTCTTGGTTTGGGCGGCCTTTCTCCTTCTTTGTCGCGCATTGCGACAGCGGCCTCCAGATGATCCTTTCAAGGACCGAATAAGGAGGAAAGGTGGCAACATGATCTATTTGCTGGTCTTCGACTTGGTGCTCTCCTTAGGCCCGGGATTCTCAGCAGGAAAACCAAACAACTGGTGCTTCACGAAGTGTTCTTGCAATCGGCGATTCTTCAAAAGCAACAAGGATGCTGCTTGAACCCTGTGAGGTGGAATTGGAGCAATTCTTGGAGTGGTGTCTCAGAAAGATTGGGATTTAGTCAACCTGCAGCTTATGTCGATGATCAACTTTGTCAAGTTTGTCCATGGCTTCCTCTCCTTGCCGTTCTTTCTTCTATTGGTGGTGCCGGTGTTGCGGAACGTCGTCCTGCACACCTGGCCTACGGGATATGACCGACGGGGCCGTTGCCGAAGGTACATCGGGCCTCAGAAGCCGACTCCTAAGGACGCTGGGAGAGAAATTCCTGTGAAGACTCAGTTGACCAAAGCGAATCGACCTTTTCGCCTTTTGGCTTTCCCATTTTGGTTCAAACATAGGTACGCAAAATGGAACCATGGTAAATGGAAACATGGACTAAAACCTGCAGTTGTCTGGTGGTTTAATTTTGACCCATACCCATATTTCGCCAAAAGGCCAACCTTTTATGGTCCTTTGGGCACGTGAGAAGATGGGTCAAAAGCCTTGGGAAGGGAATGTTCCACAGCTACAGGTGTTCTATGGCATGTGGGGGAGGGAGGTACGGTCTCAGGTGTCGACGTGTAGTTGCGAGCTTGCAGCTGCTTTAGCCAATAGATCCCTACACTTTCGCAGAACCTGGATTTCATCCTACCGAAAAGTCTCGCGGCACGTGGCGTGAATCGAATTACTCAATCGAACATTGGCAAAGAATGCAAAGACAATGTTCACCAGAAAAAAGGAGTCTCTCCATGTCCAAGGCTCTTCCGGACTTTGATGATTCCTTTGACCAAGTGACTGTATCGAAAGAGTCAAGTCTGCATGGAAGACTGTCATGGCAGGTCGGATGGTACATCTTTGTATCTTTCAGCTCATGAAAGCAATAGAGCCGTTTCCTAGAGTAAGCAACACTGCAAAAGCATGCAACAGCTGCTTTTTTGTTGCCCGCACAATTGCTTGTGCAACAATGGTTCTCAAGACTGGTGGCTACAACCTCACAATCTGTTTCACCTTCCATATAGCAGTAATGTAGTTATGCATGTAATTGTTTCATTGGCCTTCAAGCGCTTGTTTCGAAACCATCAAGATGTCGATTGCTGGATACTTTCTCAGGGTGCCGACCCGTGATTTCAATGGCTCTCAAGGACTCGGCGAAGAAGTTCCTGCCGGAGCTTGAAATGGATGATGCTCCTCGTCGAAACCGCACTCACAATTAGGTGTTTTAGGCTTCGCGAAATTGAGAAACATAAAAAAGAACTCACCCGGAAGCCCGAAAACCGAGTGGTTTGCAGATGAGCTGGTTGGGGGATCCTTTTTCAGCTTTAAGTTTCTCTCGGAGGTGTACCAGGCCAAGGTGACCATGCGCCAAGGTCTCCGAGTTGTTCGAGAATGTGAAGCACTCCTTTTTGGGCTCCAAGAGCGCCTGAGGGAATTCATCTCCGACAGGTTTGGTTGCAAAATTTGTGGACCTTCCAATGTGATGTCGATTCACAAAAGCAGAAATCTCAAACCAGCAAAGATATCGGAAGAACGTACAGTTGGAATGTGTTTTAACATTTAACAACCGAAATTGTTTGTATACGCCGAACAATCTGTGGGCCGGGAGTGCCGAATTTTGTGACCGATTGAAGTTGATGAGTAGCACTTTCTCGGAAGATATCAAAAACGTGTGGATGGCTTGTGGACTAATGACTGTGGGGCTCGACAATAAAGACCGGGTATACAAGGTGTCATTGTTCCGCTAGTACGATTACCCTTTTAATTGAGAAACAAAGAATTTGTTAATGATAAAAATAGATCTCGGATTTTATTAGATTAATATAATTTTGCAGATTTGTTTTTTAGTAAATATAGTTGATTAATATTGTTTTTTGTTGTTTTTGTTTTGTTATTAATTTAATAGAAATATATTGTTGTGTTTCTCGAAATAGAAATTATTTGTTTATTAGAATAATTTGATTTATTAAATTAGTAAATATTTTGAAAATTTAATTAAAGGAAATTTAGTTAAAGGATATGTAGAAGGATTGTTTATGTTATGGATATTAATTGAAGGTAGCTTGGGCAAAAATGAGATATAGGAAGAATAGATGTATACGAGAAAACATGTATGCACGCAAGGCGGGGGAATAGAAATTGCGACCTTTTGCGGGTTTTAGGTTCTCTGGCTGGTTTCTCTAGATTTCGTGGCAGACGCATTTTCTCATTTCTCTAACACGGATATATCGCAAATCCCATTGGCACGGACGCGTAAGGCGGCGCATATAGATTTTGTGGTAGGAATAGTGTTTTCGCAAGGTTAGATATAGATTTCGTGGTAGGGGTAGTATTTTCGTAACGTTAAGCAAGGATTTCGTGGCAGGGGTAGCATTTTCGCAGGGTTAAGTGTATATTTCGTGGCAGGGGTAGCATTTTCGCAAGGTTAAGTATAGATTTCGTGGTAGGCATAGCAATTTCGCAAGGTGAGGTATAGATTTCGTGTTAATCGTAATACTTTCGTGATCGAAGGTACGATTACATTTTTGTTGTAGCTCAAAAATCGCAAAAGTCAAGTACAAAAATAGTATTCGAAGTACATTTCTCCAGCTGCAGCTCGAAAATGGGAAAAGCTAAGTACAAAAGTAGGTTTCGAAATGGATATTTTGATGAAGCGAGCTTGATAAATAGATAGCTAGATAGACAGCCGGATAGATAGCTACATAATTAGATAGGTAGATAGATTGCTAGACAGACATAGTGCTAGATAGATAGATAGATAGATGGTAAGATAGGTAGATAGATACATAGATAGATAGATAGATAGTTACCTATCGATAGACAGACAGATAGATACATAAATAGATACATATCCATCTATCTAGCTAGCTAATTATCTATTCATCTCTCTACTACCTCTCTATCTATCTGTTTTTCTTTCTTTTGTTCTTTCTTTCCATTCTTCCTTCCTTCATTCCTATCTGTCCATCCCTCTATCTCTCTATCTCTCTATCTATCTATCTATCTATCTATCTATCTATCTGTCGATTAACCTGTTGATTAATCAATATTTTTATCTATCTAGCTGATTTAGATAGATAGATAGATAGATAAGTAAATAGATAGATAGATAGATAGATTAGCTAGATAGATAGACAGATAGATAGATAGAGATATAGATAGATATATATAGATAGACAGATAGGTCGATGGAGAGATAGATGGATGGATGGATAGATAATTGGCTAGATAGATGGATAAATAGATAGAGAAGAGAATAGCGCAAAAACACGCAGCAAAAGAAAGAACGACATAAAACACACAAAATTAAGAACGAATGGAAGGAAAAATGGACGGAAAAAAAAGAAGAAGAAAAAAAGAAAGAAACAAAGAAAGAAAGAAAGAAAAATTACAAATCGGTTTTATAGTTGTATCTTGTTTTGAAATGTTTGTTTCTCGGCTTCGCCGGCTATATTGGTGTTTATATATAGTTTAAGTTTTAATAATTATATGTAATTATTATTATATATATATATATATTAGTATTAAATAACATAATAGGATATAAATTATATTTATTTTTTCAAATATTTATATTTATGTTTATACCCCTTGATTCATATTCCAGGATGATAATTTCCTTGTTGCTGGTGCAACTAGAATCGCTGTTTGTGTGGGTTTCCTTTGCAACAGAGTGGTTCTGTTTTTTTCAAGTGCCAGGGACGCTGTGCCTGCTTTCTGCCAGCGTTAGAACATTTAGTTAAAAGTCTTCCACTTGTCGAGAATGTGCGACTGCCAAAACTACCTGGATAGCTAAGTTGCTACCTTTTGCTCAAAAGTGAGCCAAAAAGTGACGCCTCGTTGGAATAAAACAACCATCGATCCAATGGAGTTGGACGGCGACCCCTGCAACTCCACATATTGGACCCCACCTTCCCGTCAAGGCCTGACTGTTCGCCAGGCTCGAAGACTCGAAAGGGCATAGGCGCTGAGGCGCTGAGGCGCTGAGATGCAAGTGCCAGGTGTCAGCAGTCAGGGGTCAGTAGTTTCACTGTTTCTGGGGCTTATCAAGTCAGAAACGGGTTTGTGTTTTCCTTGAACCTACCACACATGGGATGGCTAAGATAACGTGGCCGGCGAGTTCGGTGCGGACAGTGAAGAACAAAAGTTCAGATGGCGTCAAGCTGTAAGGCATTGCGATGCATCGCAGCACCTTGGTCCTAGAAGCAGCTTTTTAGACAAGCCGCTGTGTGGTTTTGCACGTCGCTTAGATGCTGCGCGCCGAGGTGGGTGTGTCTCATAGACCCCAAAATTGCGCGATGTTTGACCACCCAAAAGAAAGTACCAACACAAGAGACTCCCAGAGAGCACGGTTGTTCCCACATGAGTATGCAGCAGCGAAGCGGGGCCGTGGCACGGGCATGGTAAAGCCATTCTTCCCATGCCACTCTGCGATTTTAAGCCGCAAGCCACAAAGAAATCAGTGTTTTGTCCAGAACTTAAACCAAAGATCTGCAGTTGAGCTAAATAACAGCTTCCCTTCCTCCAACTAACATGGCACCTGTGCGGAGATACCTGGAAGATTCATTCCTTTTGAAGGGAGCCCCTGTCAGTTGCCACGTTAGTCGGAGGGAGGGTACTCAGTGCAGTCTGCATTGTGGCCCTTGGCCGCTTGCTCTCCGAGAGAGCCCCATATTGCATGCCGCTCTCGAAGCAAAGCCGGGGTTGTTCTCACATAGCGCGTGAGGCGACGCAGAAAATCAATTGAACAGAGAATTGCGTCTTCGTTCAGAACGGTCGGACTTATACGCATATATATATACATATATATAGATGAATATGTATATATATATATAGGTGTGTGTGTGTGTGTGCGTGTGTGTCGATTGATTTTACACCGTGAGGGCTTGGATTTTGATATGTACCTGAATGGAGGGTCTATTGAACCTCCATCCTTCAATTCGTACAGATGGCTTCCGATCCTAGGAAAACAAACAAAAGGGATCTGTTGGATTTAGACCAGTGAGATCCTCATGACGGGTGTAAAAAGCTTGGAATGAAAATAGAACCACTGAAACATAAGTATGGTGTTTTCCGATGTTAGACAGCAACTTACAGAAATAGTAATTGAATTGAGAGGCAAGCCAGAGTAAGCATCATGAGTTGTTCCAGAGTAACATGTGATGTGCATAACACATTTTTCAACTTCATTCAGCTTCGAAATGAAGCAGAAAGGTATTCAAGAAGTTTTGATCGATGTATATGGCTGCGGGTCAAAACCAATGGTACCACTTTGGGGTAGGTTCACCACCCATTTTGGTCTATTTGAGTGGGAGGTTCACTCAAGGAACGGGGTGTTGACCCATGGCCATATAGAAACTGAGAGATTTCTGAAGATACGGCACGAGTATTTCTTGTGGTCGGTGACTGGCGCTGGCTCCGGCAGGACCGGGCGGGGCTTGTGGCTTCGGTTCGGTGCGGTAAGGCCATCATGACTTCAGCACAACGGTCAGCACAATGGTCAGCATCATATATTGTAAAATGATGGGCAAGGTGAACAAGCATAGTGTCAAGGCGCACCTTTTGTTCTTAAAGCTGGGACAGCTTCCATGAAAGCAATAATAATAAGAGCCTTGTCATGTTCACGGCCAACTCGATCATAAGCAATAGCAGGCTTGAAGAAATGCTGCTGAATACTTCAGCAGGTCGTTCCTGCTAGTGACTGCTTGCGCCCGTGTTACCATCTCTGGGCTGGCATCGCTTGCCCAAAGAGCCCAACGTTTCACCCTTTTTCGGCTCTCCATTGTGTTTTCGTTTTGTTTTTCTCCTGTGTTTTTTTCGCATGTACTTGAGTCGAGCTCTGTGGGATGGAGGAGGAGGAGAGAAATCCTTCAAGCAGAAAGAAAGAGAAAGAGAAATGCAGGCGGGCAGGCACACATGCAGACAGGCAGACAGGGAGGACACACAGAGACAGAGAAACTGAAAAGGAACGAACATAGGTTTTGTGCATGCGCAAATGCATTGCTTGACTTTAACCAGGTTTCAGCTGGAGACTCTCAGGATTTGCGCGGGTGAGCTTGCGGGGTCCGTTGTAGACAACACTCAGAGGCGACAAATCATGGCCCCCGCAAAAGCGATACTGGATTCCCTCTTTGAGTTATGCCTCCCAAATCAAAATCGAGATCGCAGCCTGTCGGAGTTGTTTCCAATTGGAGAATCTCGGCTCAGGATCCGAGTGCTATCGTCACTTTCCCGGATTTACCGCAATAGCGTGCCAGCATGCTGTCTCGCTACTTCCTTGTTTCCTCGGTCCTGCTGCTGGTAACTGCAGCGGACACCGAGACGTGTGAGACCTGCGACTAAGTTGAAATTGGGAATGCCGAAATTCTGGTGGCGCAGAGGGACGCACTCGTAAGGTCGTGCCCAGTTGCACATGAGGGATACGCCGGAATAATTAGGGCCGATTCGGGGATTTCGTCCGATGTCATGTTTAGGAGTTGGACATGGCACAAAATACGGCTGTTCCAGCCTTCCTCAGCCTGAACAACCATGCACGTGGATGGAGATTTGGCCATCTCGAACATATCAGGCCAAATCGTGAAGTCATTTTGGGGTCATTATTTGGACTGGGGGTTATCAAAGTCAGAGCTGGAAGTGGGTTGGTCACCCGACTTTTTCCTGGAAAGCGCTTTTTGTTGGTTCAGTGTTTTACTTTAATTCGCGCTCAAATGTGGGTCCAGTTCCACCCAAAGACCGTTCTGTGGGGTTCCATGTTCGAGAGATGGTTCCTGGGCTTCGGCTTGCGCGAATGTTGTCTGGCAGCATATGAGGTTTGGCCAGCATTAGCATATGAGGGGACCCCAAATTTCGCCACAAAAGAAACTGGTGACAAACCTTAATTCACCCATGTCCTTTAGGGGAAACAAGTCATTTTGAGTGTGGCTCACATGTGTGGTGCGGTCAAAGCACTCTTTGGGGTTTGTATGGATGGTGACTGTGATGTTACAACGTCTAAAGGCAGCCATGACCATGACCACATATTTTGACCATGACGCGTATGTCCGGAGTTGCTCTTAGGTTCGACGCTCTCTCTCTCTCTCTCTCTAAAGACATGGAGCTGCTTCCAATGTGTTTCTGCGTATGATGGCGCAATGTGCACTTCCATGTGTTCTGCCTATTTTATGGCGAGCTCACCGATCCAGGGGTAAAACGTGCAAGAGTCGTGAGAAAGGTCATTTACTTGGGGATCCCTGAAATCAGCTTTGGAATCATAGTAAATTTTGCAGATGTGATACATGGATGCTTCATTTGATGCTATTTTGAAGAACAGATATTGTGGGAAGATTCCATTCTGTAATCAGCCCCCTTTGCGAGATGTTCTACCGTGGGTGAACCCTTTGTCAACCACCTTTGCTGACAAAGGTGGCCAAGCTTTCCTGTTGAGTTGGCAAACTTCACACTTGTTGTCGTTCCTCACTCATTGTCTGAGCACAAGCCCAACCCTTTTATGCCCATTCTGGCCAGCTCGCTGAGCGCTAAAAGCACGCTGTGACCACCTATTTCGCGCTCCGGCATAGAAACCGGTTGGAGATGAGCCACGTGGCGTGCTCTCTCGAGCCGAAAATAAGTCCTCCAGGAAATATGGGTACCAGTCAGGTCGCCTTTTGCTGGGCGAGTGAGCGCCTGGCTCGTCGCTGTCCGGCCGAGGTGATGGGGAGGCTTCGAGGCAGGGTGGGCCAACTTCCATTGAATATGTTGATTTTCCCCTGTTGGTGTTACAAGGAATTTGTCACTACTGGAAAGATTTGTAAATTTTTTGTAGGGGTCTTAACCAAATGGAAGCCAAACAATGTCCACCGGCCGCGAAACCCGGACCGCGCAGGAGCAAAAGCCTGCTCTCTCTGAAGGCTGAGGTGGCACAGAAGCCCAGCTGTGAGTGGCGCTCCGCGTTTTGTCGGGGGAAGGAGCTGGACAAACCGAGTTCGCTCTCTGGTTGCTCCTCTTTGTTGCTCTCTTTTTTGGCCAGACCAACAAAAAATTGGTTGTACCACCATGTCTTTCCCCCTTTTTTTTCCGGAAGGGTTGTGGAAGGAGGTTGACAAAATGAATGGTGCCATGACCAAAATCGGCCAACAAACGAAGTTTGCGCCACATCCACTCCCAGGAAGTCGGTGCAGACGGCGGAGATGGCCGACCTCGCCGCAGAGCTGCTGGGCGACGGCGGGCGCATGGACCTCTTCGGCGAAGCGGGCAACGCATCGAAGCAGATCTTGCAGCCAGCGCCAGTTTTTTTTTGTTTTGTGTTTGATGCGTGGGTATGGGTCAAAATGAAACCACCAGGGGACCCTAGCTTCTAGTCCATGTTTCCATTTACCAGGGTTCTATATTTGGTACCTATTTTGTACCCATGCCCGTGTTTGTTGCGGATGGATTCTTTTGGGTTTCTCTTGGTTGGCTGTTGTTGTTTGGTTGTTGTTGTTGTTGTTTGTGGGCGGGGGGTGCTTTTGGACGTGAGAATGCAGGTGTTGACCTTAGGTTGCGCTTTTCAACATGTCAAGTTAAGCGTTTCCAGCAGTCCACAACCCCGATAATTTACTTCCATGTGTGGTGTAAAAAAAAGAGGGACGGAAGTGTCAGGCAGCAAAATGGGGATCACGTTTTGCCACAGTGGTCCCCGAGTAGTGCCCTTTTACCTTTTGTTGGGAGGGTTCCCCTACTAAAATAGACTACAGAACAAAGGGTACCCGTATTCTAACCTCTCTACTGGAGGACCTAGACAGTTTAACAAGTAAAAGTTGTTCGTTTCGTCGTCTACTCGCGACTGGGTCTTGTCTGAGGTTTTCAGTCACACCAAAACTCAGGAGAAAACCTCTTTGTATCAGTCTACATTGGGCCGTTCGAAAGATTGAGCCCGGAATTCAGTGACCATTGGGTGCCTCTTGTCGTTTAGTCCTTGCACGCAACCCGTAGGCGGGAGATCTCACCAGTTTCAATGCTCAAGGCTCTTAAAGGGGTTTCCTTCAAGGTTCGCCTACCAGCAAATAGGTCGCCGTGTGCAGGCGAAGTTTGGGCTCTGAGATTGGAGACTTTGCAACGCGAAAGGTGATTCCCCACCATGCTGTTTGTTGGAGGGTATCCTTGAAAAATTATAAAGAAAGTCACCATGCGTCCCCCGAACAGCGCACCCATGGCCTTTCGCACGTCAGGAACCAATCGAACTGGACGAGGGTGAACCAGAGTTTGCACAACCTGGCGCCTGGGCCGAGTTTCGCGGTAGTTGGTGCGGCACCCGGCTGGGAACCCTTCAAGGGGAAATGTTTCCAGTGTCATTCTATATGGCCTTGTGGTTTCCACTTCGAACCTGTCCTTGTTCGGCACGTTTATTAGGCTTGGAAACGGATTGAAACCCTTGGACAATTCTCCATCCGCAACAAATCAAATACTATTAAATAGAGTATCAACCATTTGACTCTGGCCCCAGCCAAAAGGAGGCGAAAGACTGCCCCCTTGAAACGGAAGGTCCCAACCTATGAGTCGCTTACAATTTCCGTTGGCTTCACAGGGCAACCCGGAGTCCCCACGCAAATCAGGGGGACTCCTATGTAATTCTGCGCGTACCTCGCATGTGGCATGAGTTTGTGCCCCCCTCCTTGTGAAGCCGGCGCATAGGACTTCACCTTCGGGTTCCAAGAAGGGCCATGTTTGACAATCCAGGCCGCCGCATTCTTTTCCGGTTTTCCACAGAAGATCACCAGCACTTCAGAAACTTCGCAGAAGGAGTCTCCAAGAAATGTCCAAGTCCTAATATGCTCAGGTGCAGCGTGAAGCGAATGGAACAACTTGCGAGCAAAGGCCCCCAAACAAGACCTGGGTTTGTAGAAGCGAGCTCTTGGGAATGTCACCTTTGATTTACAAACGGCGCGGCAATTTGGGCATCACCCCAAGTGCTTCCTTGACTGCTTCCGGAGGTCACCAACGTGATGGCGGCGGATGCGAACCAAACGAACCGGATCCCCAACCCGGAAGGCAGAGCGGGAAAGACATGGAATCCAAACGCCTAGCAGATTTTGGGGTAGAGGCGTCTTGCCTTTTTTGTTGAGGCCACCCTTTTTTCCTTTGAAGGGGATCCAAAGAAAAGCACATGTGCGGGTTCGCCAAGTTCAAGGCATGGTCAACTGTGGGAATGACGATGTTTGACCATGGCTCAAGAGGTTTAGCGAAAATAGGGACTTCCGAAAAGCGGCAACCAGGGTTCTTGTTGAAAAGGGTGTTTGACAACATCCCATGAGTAACAACCATTGCTGGTTTCAGCTTTCTTCTGGGCCTAATTACGAGGAGGTGATCTTTGTTCTCCAGGTCCTTAGGTTGAAGAGTGAAAACCTCAAAAATGTTTGGACAAGAATCCCAGATGATGTCCACCCAAGGGCCCAAGTGGCCCTATGTCGGTGTCTCTTTTCGACCACCATAAGGGGAAAAAGCCTCTTGTGTTAAACGGCATGCTTTCGCATTGAAAGGCAAGCCACCAGGGAAGTTCCCATTGAGCCACCTCTTGAAAGGGACACCTCTGCAGCTTCCCAACTCGCTGAGCTGAATCTGAGAATCGCCTTGGAGCGGCGGTGAACTGCCCATGGAACTCCAAGGATCTCCTATGGCGGTGAAACAATTGCCACTGTAGGGAATCTGAAAGTGAGAAAGTCTTGGGAATGACCTGCGTTTCTCTTGTTTCAGAACCATGTAGGCACTTGGAATCCAAATGCACCCCCATTCCAACTTCTTGGCTCGTGATATTGAAATTTTATCAAAGTCACACTCTGAGTGTCACATAAGATTCAGTGTCTGACCTTGACTACCCCCGGCAGGTACAATGATAACCCTAGTTTTAGGTGAGAGTTCTCCAAACCAAGGTTCCATGAGGAAAACCGCGGCAGGGTCTGCCTATTGGCCCCTCTTCTCAAAAAACAAGTGACCGCCTGTTGAAATGCAGACATCCTTATTGTACCTGTGCACTTGGTCACCTTGCCACTTTTCGTGGGTAAAGGGCCAGCCATTTGAGCTGGTCAGAGTCATGGGCCGAGCGGCTTCTGTTGCCTGGTTCTTTACTGTTCCTGGCGTTCTTAAAGTTAGCCTTTTTGGTTCTGATTCTTTGTAGTGAGGGTGTTTCATGGTTGTTGTTGTTGTTGGGAAACATTTCACATGTTTGCTTGTTGTGGTTTAGTTGGAAATCCCCACTTAGCTGCTAACAATTATTTTAACGCCTCCGGCTCAGGCCGCCGACATTACAGGCCTGCTTTCTTACTTGCGTCCCTTTGGAATTGTCCCCTTGCCCCCTTCCCCTCTGAGATTTTTGCCCCCCCTTTCTTTGTTGAGATCCATTCCCCCTTTCCGCCCTAAGGCCTTTTCTCCCTCTGATTCTTCCCTTTTCCTCCCTAAGATGTTTTCCCCCCTCTCCCTGTTGAGATCCTTTCCCCCCTTTCCCCCTAAGGCCTTTTCCTCCCTGAGATCTTCTCCCTTTTCCTCCCTTTCCCCCACTTTCCCCCCTACGGCCTTTTCCTGCCTGGGATCTTTTCCCTTTCCTCCCTGAGATCTTTCCCCCCCTTTCCCTGTTGAGTCCCCCCTACGGCCTTTCCCCCCGCTGAGATCTTCTCCCTATTCCTCCTTAAGATCCTTTGCCCCCTTTCCCTGTTGAGATCCTTGCCCCCCTTCCCTTTAAGGCCTTTCCAGATCTGCTCCCTTTTCCTTCCTAAGATTGTGTCCCCCCTTTCCCTGTTGAGATCCTTCCCACCCTTTCCCCCCTCAGGCCTTTCCCCCCCCCCTGAGAGCTTCTCCCTTTTCCTTCCTTAGATCTTTCCCCCCTTTCCCTGTTGGCCTTTTTTCCCCCAGATCTTCTCCCTTTCCTCCCTAAGATCTTTTCCACCCCTTTCCCTGTTGAGATCATTTCTCCCCTTTCCCCCCTAAGGCCTTTGTCCCCAGATCTTCTCCCTTTCCTCCCTAAGATCTTCCCCCCCCCCCTTTCCCTGCTGAGATCCTTTTCCCCCTTTCCCCCCTAAGGCCTTTCCCCCCCCTGAGAGCTTCTCCCTTTTCCTTCCTAAATCTTTTCCCCCCTTTCCCTGTTGGGCTTTCCCCCCTAAGTCCTTTTCTCCCAGATCTTCTCCCTTTCCTCCCTAAGATCTTCCCCCCCCCCCTTTCCTCCTTAAGATCTTTCCCACCCTTTCCCTGTTGAGATCCTTTCCCCCCTTTCCCTCCCAAGGCCTTTCCCCCCCCCTGAGAGCTTCTCCCTTTTCCTTCCTAAGATCTTTTCCCCCCTTTCCCTGTTGGGCTTTCCCCCCTAAGTCCTTTTCTCCCAGATCTTCTCCCTTTCCTCCCTAAGATCTTCCCCCCCCCCTTTCCTTCCTAAGATTGTTTCCCCCCTTTCCCTGTTGAGATCCTTCCCACCCTTTCCCCCTGAGGCCTTTCCCCCCCTGAGAGCTTCTCCCTTTTCCTTCCGTAGATCTTTCCCCCCTTTCCCTGTTGGCCTTTTTTCCCCCAGATCTTCTCCCTTTCCTCCCTAAGATCTTTTCCACCCCTTTCCCTGTTGAGATCATTTCTCCCCTTTCCCCCCTAAGGCCTTTGCCCCCAGATCTTCTCCCTTTCCTCCCTAAGATCTTTCCCCCCCTTTCCCTGCTCAGATCCTTTCCCCCCTTTCCCCCCTAAGGCCTTTCCCCCGCTGAGATCTTCTCCCTTTTCCTCCCTAAGATCTTTTGCCACCTTTCCCTGTTGAGATCCATTCCCCCTTTCCCCCCTAAGGCCCTTTCTCCCTCTGAGTTGTTCCCTTTTCCTCCCTACGATGTTTTCCCCCCCTCTCCCTGTGAGATCCTTTCCCTCCTTTCCCCCCTAAGGCCTTTTTTCCCCCCGCGATCTTCCCCCTTTTCCTTCCTAAGATCTTTTCCCCCCTTTCCTTGTTGAGATCCTTTCCCGCCCTTTCCCCCCTAAGGCCTTTCCCCCCCTGAGATCTTCTCCCTTGTCCTCCCCAAGATCTTTTCCCTTGGTTGAGATCCTTTCCCGAATTCCCCCCGAGATCTTCTCCCTTTTCCTCCCTAGGATCCTCTCCCACCTTTCCCTGTTGAGCTCCTTTCCCCCTTTTTTCCCTAAGGCCTTTTCAGATCTTCTCCTTTTTCCTCCCGAAGATCCTTTGCCCCCTTTCCCTGTTGAGATCCTTTCCCCATTTCCCCCCTAAGGCCTTTTCCCTGCCTGGGATCTTCTCCCTTTCCTCACTGAGATCTTTCCCCCCCTTTCCCTGTTGAGATCCTTTCCCTCCTTTCCTTCCTAAGGCCTTTCCCCCCGCTGAGATCTTCTCCCTATTCCTCCTTAAGATCCTTTGCCCCCTTTCCCCGTTGAGATCCTTTCCCCCCTTCCCTTTAAGGCCTTTCCAGATCTATTCCCTTTTCCTTCCTAAGATTGTTTCCCCCCTTTCCCTGTTGAGATCCTTCCCACCCTTTCCCGCCTAAGGCCTTTCCCCCCCTGAGAGCTTCTCCCTTTTCCTTCCTTAGATCTTTCCCCCCTTTCCCTGTTGGCCTTTTTCCCCCAGATCTTCTCCCTTTCCTCCCTAAGATCTGTTCCACCCCTTTCCCTGTTGAGATCATTTCTCCCCTTTCCCCTCTAAGGCCTTTGTCCCCAGATCTTGTCCCTTTCCTCCCTAAGATCTTTCCCCCCCCCCCCTTTCCCTGCTGAGATCCTTTTCCCCCTTTCCCCCCTAAGGCCTTTCCCCCCCCTGAGAGCTTCTCCCTTTTCCTTCCTAAGATCGTTCCCCCCCTTTCCCTGTTGGGCTTTCCCCCCTAGTCCTTTTCTCCCAGATCGTCTCCCTTTCCTCCCTAAGATCTTCCCCCCCCTTTCCTCCTTAAGATCTTTCCCACCCTTTCCCTGTTGAGATCCTTTCCCCCCTTTCCCTCCCAAGGCCTTTCCCCCCCCCTGAGAGCTTCTCCCTTTTCCTTCCTAAGATCTTTTCCCCCCTTTCCCTGTTGGGCTTTCCCCCCTAAGTCCTTTTCTCCCAGATCTTCTCCCTTTCCTCCCTAAGATCTTCCCCCCCCCTTTCCTTCCTAAGATTGTTTCCCCCCTTTCCCTGTTGAGATCCTTCCCACCCTTTCCCCCTGAGGCCTTTCCCCCCCTGAGAGCTTCTCCCTTTTCCTTCCGTAGATCTTTCCCCCCTTTCCCTGTTGGCCTTTTTTCCCCCAGATCTTCTCCCTTTCCTCCCTAAGATCTTTTCCACCCCTTTCCCTGTTGAGATCATTTCTCCCCTTTCCCCCCTAAGGCCTTTGCCCCCAGATCTTCTCCCTTTCCTCCCTAAGATCTTTCCCCCCCTTTCCCTGCTCAGATCCTTTCCCCCCTTTCCCCCCTAAGGTTTTCCCCCCCTGAGATCTTCTCCCTTTTCCTCCCTAAGATCTTTCGCCACCTTTCCCTGTTGAGATCCATTCCTCCTTTCCCCCCTAAGGCCCTTTCTCCCTCTGAGTTGTTCCCTTTTCCTCCCTACGATGCTTTCCCCCCTCTCCCTGTTGAGATCCTTTCCCTCCTTTCCCCCCTAAGGCCTTTTTTCCCCCCGCGATCTTCCCCCTTTTCCTCCCTAGGATCTTCTCCCACCTTTCCCTGTTGAGCTGCTTTCCCCCTTTTCCCCCTAAGGCCTTTTCAGTTTTTTCTTTTTCTTTTCTAAGATCCTTTGCCCCCTTTCCCTGTTGAGATCCTTTCCCCCTTTCCCCCCTAAGGCCGTTTCCCTGCCTGGGACCTTCTCCCTTTCCTCACTGAGATCTTTCCCCCCCTTTCCCTGTTGAGATCCTTTCCCCCCTTTCCCCCCTACGGCCTTTCCCCCCGCTGAGATCTTCTCCCTATTCCTCCTTAAGATCCTTTGCCCCCTTTCCCTGTTGAGATCCTTTCCCCCCTTCCCTTTAAGGCCTTTCCAGATCTTCTCCCTTTTCCTTCCTAAGATTGTTTCCCCCCTTTCCCTGTTGAGATCCTTCCCACCCTTTCCCCCCTCAGGCCTTTCCCCCCCCTGAGAGCTTCTCCCTTTTCCTTCCTTAGATCTTTCCCCCCTTTCCCTGTTGGCCTTTTTTCCCCCAGATCTTCTCCCTTTCCTCCCTAAGATCTTTTCCACCCCTTTCCCTGTTGAGATCATTTCTCCCCTTTCCCCCCTAAGGCCTTTGTCCCCAGATCTTCTCCCTTTCCTCCCTAAGATCTTCCCCCCCCCCCTTTCCCTGCTGAGATCCTTTTCCCCCTTTCCCCCCTAAGGCCTTTCCCCCCCCTGAGAGCTTCTCCCTTTTCCTTCCTAAATCTTTTCCCCCCTTTCCCTGTTGGGCTTTCCCCCCTAAGTCCTTTTCTCCCAGATCTTCTCCCTTTCCTCCCTAAGATCTTCCCCCCCCCTTTCCTCCCTAAGATCTTTCCCACCCTTTCCCTGTTGAGATCCTTTCCCCCCTTTCCCTCCCAAGGCCTTTCCCCCCCTGAGAGCTTCTCGCTTTTCCTTCCTAAGATCTTTTCCCCCCTTTCCCTGTTGGCCTTTTTTCCCCAGATCTTCTCCCTTTCCTCCCTAAGATCTTTTCCACCCCTTTCCCTGTTGAGATCATTTCTCCCCTTTCCCCCCTAAGGCCTTTTTGCCCCAGATCTTCTGCCTTTCCTCCCTAAGATCTTTCCCCCCCCCCCAGTTCCCTGTTGAGATCATTTATTTCCCCCCTTTTCCTTCTAAGGCCTTTTCCCACCCTCAGTTCTTCTCCCTTTTCCTCCCAAAGATTTCCCCCCTTTCCCCCCCTTTCCTCCCTAAGACCCTCAGTTCTTCTCCCTTTTCCTCCCAAAGCCTTTCCCTCTTTTCAGATCCTCCCTTTCTCCCCTTTCCCTTAAGATCCTTTCCCCCGTTTCCCCCCTAAGGCCTTTTCCCCCCAAGATCTCCACCCTTCTCTTCCCAAAGTCTTTTTCCCCCTTTCCCGTTTGAGATCCTGTCCCCCCATTGCCCCTTAGGGCCTGTTCCCCCCGAGAAAGATTTCCCTTTTCCTCCCAAAGATCGTTTCCCCCCTTTCCCCCTTAAGCATTTTTTCCCCAGATCTTCTCCCTTTCCTCCCTGAGATCTTTCCCCCCCTTCATTTCCTTCACCAGCATGGGCAACATCCCCAGCATCACTTGCATCATCCGCATCCTTGGCAGGCGCTGATGCGGATGATGCAGGTGATGCTGGCGATGTGCCGCTGGAGCTGCTAAGGATGAAAGCGCACCCGGGGGGAATCGAACACCCGTTGCGCAAGCTCGCACCATGAACAGATTTAGTGAAGCGTCTTCGAATCACCGCGTGAATTTTTTGTGTCCAACACGCCGTCTGTTGTCGGCGGATTTTTGTTGCTCCCCTTCCAACGTCAACCAAGGTTTTGCCATACCAGTCGGGAAGTTTGGAGTTCCTTGCCTCGCAAAAAAACGTCAATAAAGCTCTGACCGCAGAGTTGACCGTTTTAAACCTTGAAAACCCAGACCTCCAGTGCCCCTTTGCTCCAAGAAGCAGCCAAAAGGGCGCCCTTCTTTCCCGTGGGCTGAGAAACTCTACCGGGACCCTGAAGGAAGTCTGAAGAGTTCAAGGGCTTCAAGTTGCCAAAGGCCTTTTCTATTGCTCGAAACTGTTCTGAGGGATCCTGATGGCTGATACTCCAACACTCCGCTGAAATCCAAATGGCCATGGGTCAAAAGCCAAATCGTACCCCCAGTGAACATCCCAACCCCCACTAAAATAGACTAAAATGGGTGGTGCACCTACCCCAAAATGGTACCGTTGGTTTTGGAGGTTCCCTGGCTTTTGTTTGAACCAAGCAAAGCCAACTCAACGCCAAGTTCGCTCTATGCGCTCTCGCCCAAAACCGGGGGAGGTGTTCGAGCCAGATTTCCTCAGGCAATTACTCGGACCCCCAAAACCGCACCGGCATGGGGAACCTGGCGCAGTCCCTGGAGCGCCTTGGATTTCAGCCGTGGTTTGAATTGGTGGCTCCCAGCCATCCGGTCCCTTAGCCTTTCAGTTTTTTTCGTGTTTAGTGGCAGTTTCCATTTAACCCACTAAAAGGTATTCACTTTTAGCAGGGGATCTGAGGGCATTTTTTGTTTTGGTTTTGGATTTGGATTTGAAGCCCTGGCCCTTAAGCAAACCAGGGCCAGGTCAAAATTTGACGTAAATCTGCATGGATTCATTCCCAAGGGGTGGGGATCAAATTCGCATGAGTAACAATGGATTTGTTTGCGAAAGTACCTCGGGGCCCACTTCAAAAAAAGTTCAATTCTTTCCCACCAGGGTTGCCAGGCAAACTGGTGATCTGTTCTTCATTCGTGGCATTTTTGGCAGATGTTGCTTGTTCTGTTCCCTTGTTAAACTCGTAGTCCCAGTTTCTCGGTGACATGTGGGTGTGCCTCATAATAGCGGAACCCTCAAAAAACGACATCCCTATGTGTTGCTGCATAAGTCGCAGGGTTGACGTCCCATTCGTATCAACGCGCGCTTTTTCTTAAAGATCAGCCGTTTCCTCGGGGTCTTGCTGCTTTCCCGAACAGACAGCTCAGCAGCCCCTGGATGAAGAACAGTCAACACAAAAGAGTGTCCCTTTTCCCATTATCACTGGGTCAGACAGTGTTGGTCGTCAAGTTTTGATGTCCAGGCCCTTGCCGGTGAAGAACTAAGTTTAAAGAAGGTTGATAGGTGTTTTTGCTTGGCCCCTGTTCAGGACTCGTTTCTCAAAGCACCATGACCAGGGCAATGGATGGGAGGCGAGCCGCAAGGACCCTCACGGCACAAGGGAGATTTTGTAAGGGAGTCCGTGTCTCAGGGGATCAGCCCAATGAAGTCGGAGAGAGCTTTCCAGTGGGAACCGACCTATTGAACACGTTCCTTTGCAAAACACGCCGCTCAACACAAACCTGGGGATTGGTGGAAAAAAGAAAAAGGATCCGTTGCTGGTGTTGCTCCCCCCAATCCAAAAGGCGCAACTCTATTGTTCTTGCCAAGTTTCTGCTTATTGTGTTTGCTTTTATTGGCTCCGTCCCTTTGTGGAGTTTGCAAAACCATGTTTTTGTTTGCTGCCATGCCAGTTGGCAACAGACATTGCCTTTCACCGCCAGTTGTCCAGGCTACGTTTCAACTTGTGTCCATTGAGCGAGTCGGGGGTACCTCCCTTTTCTTGACAGCTATTGGGTTGCATCTTTAGACTTGAACTTTTTGGTTGAAATCAAGGGTTTTCCACTAAACCCCCAAAAAGTGATTCACTTTTTGCAGGGCTCCTTAAAAGATACATGTTGCCCATTTGAAACATGTTGCTTTTTCCACCAAAATAAAGTTGGAAACCACCATTTACAAGTTGCAATGTTCAGGTGTGCTTCCCCAAAAGCTGAACGCTGGGTTTCTGCCCAGACAAGCTCTGCAGTGGTTTTGCAGCGGGGTCAACAGCCCCCCCGCACCCGCTAACCCCCCGTTTTCGCGCGAGGTTTTTGTACTTGAAGGTCGCTGAGCTCGAAACCGCGGTCGAGCCGCTTGGCCTTGAGCGCGCGAAGCCCCGATCGAGGCGTTGAGGCGCGAGCGGATGGACCGGATCGAACCGACAAGTTGGGGGGGGTGTCCCCTGGCAACTGTGTTTGCAGGCTGCAAAATAGAGATTAGCAAAACAGGTTTTCCCACTCAGACCACGCAATCGACTAGTAAAAACCACGGTTTTCCACGTGTCCTCCAGTTGCGTGCTTGCTGCGCGCGCGTTTTCATGACGACGTCGACACGCTGCTGTTGCTGTTGCTGTTGCTGTTGCTGTTGCTGTTGCTGTTGCTGTTGCTGTTGCTGTTGCTGTTGCTGTTGCTGTTGCTGT